ATAGGACGATACATAGAATAATGATTGGCTGACATTATCAGAATCAGATCAAAGAAGTATGTAATTCTTTATTATTCAGTATGTATATAATACTGTACACAAATCTGTAATCCTATAATGAATGAGTCACTTTGCAAACATATGTCATTGAACTATGTTACACAAAGAAAATAGATAATGGGTCAAGACAACCTAGATACCATGCCGTGTCAGGCATATTATCACCCCCATATTATCATTTTAAGTATGGTTGGATGATTTTTCAAATACACCATCCATTCGATTACCAGTTGGTGATCTTTTGACTTGCACAAAATAAAAATGTTCATTGGTTTGTTTTGAGTTCAAGCAAATTCGGACCCATAAACGTGACTTTTTATCGAAAATATTTGAAAATACCAGGAACATTTTGTCTAACTTAGCTTGCCCCAAATAATATTAGATTTGAAGATGAAAACTACAGGCTAAGATGTAAGGAATAGCAAGGAATAGCAGTTATTCTATGGGGTCCTCGGTCAGTGCAATGCTGGGTGTGCGTCATTAATGGCGGATGTTTTCTTCTCTCTTACGAAAATTAAATCATAATTACATCGATTACCTGCGCAATTCTAATTTATTCTCGATAAAGCCTCCAGATTTTAATAACTTACATACTTACTTCTAATAATCAACGACATTTAAATTATAGCAGGACCCCCTTTTGGGGATAAATCAGTTTTAATTTTCGTATTTTTCAAAATTCGGTTTTCGCGGTATTTTCATATTTTTGCGCGAATTTTCTTATTTTCAGCTAACGGGTTTTACCTACCTCTTCGTCATGGGTTTCCAAGGATATGGATTGCTCCTTCTCTGCTTTGTTTTCGCAGTCCAGTCATTTTTCTGTGATCATGGAAACCACTTACCTTCAACAGAGTCATACACACAGTTGATGCAACTGCGACGTTTCCATAAGATTGTTGGCTCTCGTGGAATCCTTCACAAGAAATCTTCCACACCACTGCTCTTCCTATGTCTTATTCTTAGTGGTGACATCCACCCAAACCCAGGTCCTGTTAAATTTCCCTGCGGTATGTGCCACAAAGCAGTTGCCAAGAATCATCGCGCCCTTGAATGCGATGAATGCGGCACATGGGTACACATCAAATGTGGCAATGTTTCCCCTGCTGAGTACAATGTTTTTCTTGACGCGGGCAGTTTCACCTGGATCTGTCCTGGATGTGCCCTACCTAATTTTTCCAACAGCTTCTTCAATGACTCCACTCTTTCTCATTCCTCGGTAACAAACTCCTTCAGCGCTCTCTCTGATCTTGACAATTCGTCATCATCATCTGATTCTACCGAATCAGAACCACCGAGGCTGACTGCACGAAAGAGGCGAAACCAGGTTCGCCTCATGTCTATTAACTTCCGCAGTCTAATTAGTCATGAGAAGCAACTACACCTTCAACAACTAATTGAAACTCACAAGCCAGATGTCATCATAGGCTGTGAGACTCACCTGGACAACACCATCGACAGCAAATGGATATTCGGTCAAGACTACCTTAGCCCACCTCCATACAGGAAAGACCGAAAGAAAGGTGCTGGCGGTGTCCTTATCGCAGTCAAAAGTGACTTCATATCAGTCGAATATGAAGCGACAGCTGATTGCGAAATCATATGGTCCAAAGCATCTCTATCAAATGGGGACATACTGTTTGGATCCTTCTATCGTCAACCAAACAACGATACTGGTGCTTTGGACTCGCTCCAAACATCCCTCGATAAACTTTATGCTAATGGTAATACACATATGAAAAACATCTTCCTATGTGGTGACTTCAACTTACCAGACATCGATTGGGAGAAAGGAACTATAAGGCCTAATTCTCAATATTCTAATGATCTTAATGAGAAGATGATTACAATAACTGATGATCATTGCCTAACCCAACTAGTCAAGGAACCAACTAGACAAAATAACATCCTTGACTTAGTATTCACTACATGCCCAAACCTCGCAGAAAGAATCTCGGTGGTTCCGGGCATGAGTGATCACGAGGCAGTCCTATGTGATATAAACCTAAAAATGAAAATTCAGAAAAAGAAGCCTCGTAAGGTCCACATATACAAGCGGGCAGAATGGACTGGACTTAAAGAGACTCTACGATCTAAGTTCAGCGAGTTCAAAGAGAACTGTGAAAGTAGATCAGTTGAAGACAACTGGTCCTCCTTCAAATCTACATTAATATCGTCAATCAATGAGCATATTCCAAGTAAAACTCTAAGCGGGAAATTCAAAGTACCCTGGATTACCACCAGGATACTGAGAATGATCCGACAGAAACAAAGACGATATAATGTTGCCAAACGTTCAAATGAACCTCATCATTGGCATAAATACAAATCACTACGGAAATTAATCCATAGTGAAATTCGTAAAGAACATCAGCGCTACATCAACGATCTGCTTGACATTGATGAAAGCGAAATCATAAATGAGAATGTTCAGCACAAAGGCATTACCAAACGCTTCTGGAGCTACATAAAGTCTAAACGCAAAGATGCATCAGGTATCAGCGTGCTGCGTAACAAAGATGGCGACGAAATAACAGACGCCGCCCAGAAAGCAAACATCCTCAATGACCAATACAATTCTGTATTCACAGATGAGGATGCCACTCTACCGACAATGGTACCTAGTCAAATTCCTGAAATGCCAAATATCAAAATTTCGACAAAAGGAATTCACAAATTGCTAACTGGCCTAAATCCATCAAAAGCCACTGGACCCGATCTTATTCCGACTAGGGTCCTGAAGGAATGCAGTGACAGCATATCACCATTCCTTCAAATAATTTTTCAACAGTCTATCGATGAAGGCTTAGTGCCTATGGACTGGAAACATGCCAATGTTACTGCTATCTACAAAAAGGGACGAAGAGATGAGGCTGTGAATTACAGGCCTGTATCTCTGACGTCAGTTCCATGTAAAATAATGGAACATATTATATTCCATCATGTTATGGCCCACTTTGACCTCTATGAAATTCTAGTAAAATTCCAACATGGATTCAGGTCAAAGCACTCATGTGAAACACAACTTGTCAATACAATAGAGAATATAGCTCGGGCCCTCGACAACAATAAACAAACAGACATGTTGGTATTAGACTTTTCCAAAGCGTTTGACACGGTGGCTCACGAACGCCTCTTGCTCAAACTCGACTATTATGGAATTCGCAATAATAACTTGAACTGGTTCAGATCCTGGCTTGTGGGTAGATCACAACAGGTAGTGCTCGATGGTGAATCAAGTTCAAAAACTCCAGTAAAATCAGGAGTTCCTCAAGGAACAGTTCTTGGACCTCTCTGTTTCCTTGTTTATATCAATGATATGGGCAATAACCTATCATCCTCAGCCAGTCTTAAGCTTTTTGCCGACGACAGCCTTTTATTCATGACAGTCGAAAGCAAGCAAGATGCATTAACACTACAGGAGAATCTTGATAAACTGGTCTCCTGGGCATCAACATGGCAAATGAAATTCCATCCATCAAAATGCTATGTGCTAAATATTCACAAAGGTAAATCCCCTATCATGCACAATTACACCATGCTAGGGGAAAACCTTAAGTCGGTAACACACATCCCATACCTAGGAATTGACATCACAAATAACTTACGCTGGACTACACATATTCAAACTATTGTATCCAAAGCCAATAAGGTGCTTGGATTTCTCAGGCGCAACCTCCATCAATGCCCTGAAAAAGTGAAGGCTCAGGCGTATAAGTCACTAGTCCGGCCTAATTTAGAGTATGCCAGCTCGGCATGGGATCCGTACCGACAAAAAGATATTGATATGTTGGAACAGGTACAGAGAAGAGCAGCCAGGTTTGTAACCAAATGTCACTCAAGGGAACCAGGCTGCGTCACCAAAGCTCTTCAAGACCTACAGTGGGAGCCACTGAAGGAGCGTCGAGAGGCTGCTAGAGTTTTCCTTTTCTACAAAGGAAAGCAGAACCTAGCAGCCATCGACGTGCCTCCATACTTCCGCCAACAGATCAATACCAACACTAGGTTGTATCATCCTTCTAAGTTCATACAACCATCAGCTAGAACGGATGCATACAAATTTAGCTATTTCCCTAGGACAATAGCTAAATGGAACACTCTACCTGGTGACATCTTAGACTGTGACAGTCTAAGTAGTTTTAAATCATCATACTATGCCTATGTCAATAACTGCAATTAAATAGGTGTGTTTTTAATATAGATCTATGTTTTAATGTAAAGGGTCCCCAGTGCACAGCAACAAGCCTGCACTACTGGTAAAGAGGGGTGATGTCAACGCGGTTAGCCTGACAGTCTCCCCAGGTAAAATGTGTTGTAAACCATAGATCTATTTTTAAATGTTAAGGTTTTAAATTATATTCTATTCAAATTCTATCACTGTTAAATTATATATCTGCTTTATATGGGCTTATTAGCCTTTTGCGGATTATTGACATAGACATAGTGTAGAATATGGATAATTTTGGAATACTATCTTTCATCTAAAGACCAATAATTACACATGCATATGTTGACATATAACGTTCGAACCTCTTCTAATGGCTACTAAGCAAACAACTGGCTTGAAGTACTGATAATAGCGGATATATTTGCATATTTTATCTCAAAGAGGACAGACTATTCAAAATGGCGGCACGGTTTTGACCTTTTTTGAAACGATATAAAATCATGTTTGTGTCAACATCGGGCTTTGCATAAGTGCTTTAGAAATATGTAGGAAATAATGGGTATCAGAAGATCACGTTTGGTATATTTACATGACGGTAGAAGCCATACAGGCGCAGTAAAAGCCATATATTTCTCACAAATTACCGGCAAAAACAAAAATGAAGCAGACAGTTTCAGATCTTCCAATTGTTAGTTCCAATTACAGTCCATTTATGGCATTTTCGTCAATACATTCATGGTCTTATTAATCCATATATACATATAAACGTTCCTACCTTTAAATCTCCAGTAAAGCTTCTACTGCTCTTGGTAAATCCGTCAAAAATTGACCCAGTTTTGCAAACAGACCGGGAATGCACTCGGTGAAGCAGCGGCTGTTACTTCCTGTTAAATTACTCCCTGTATTAGTTGCACTGCGAATACTTCAACTCAAAAGCTCTACCTGTATCCAAAGTTGGTAAACACCAATACAGACCGAGAGGCACACAATGAGGCTGATTTAAAAGATTGTACTATCAAAGGGTGATAGCTTCAACCCCCTTCTACCAATGGGGCAAAGTACAAAGTAGAATACTATTGATGACTACAGAGTCCCATTGGTTTTTATTTCATTACAGTTCCTTGAAGAAGCCACCACCGCCCTCATGGGACTCCTTAGGACCTAAAGGGACAAAGTCGCATTCAATATGAAATAGAGATACAATATTGGTCTCAATAAACATAATGTCATTTAAGTCCTACAATGTTCAAGGAGGACAGTCCCATGCAATGTTAAGTTAAAGGAGGTCCCACAGTGCCTCATTGGTGTGCATTGGACTTTACAGCAGCATTACCATCTGTGAAAAGTAATTTAGTACCTGTAAAGACTCATGGAGGGGCCAACACAGGGGATATTAAACTCAACACAACCATATATGTGATACAGAAATTATGGTCCCCCAGTGATTATTGTCCCCTTTAATAAAAAGTCCACTTGTAGAATATAAATTAATGTGGAAGACAGCTATAACTATGTGAATGAATGGAGAGGGAACATTTATAATGAGAGTTTAGAAGGAATGATGAATTTTGATTTGACAATTGACACCAATATATCTGGGATGTATCTTATTGAAACTCACCCTCCGGTCTTTTTTATTTTGATAATAACTGTATTTCTCCTTAATTTGGCTGCCATTTTAATTTGGCAATTCGCCAAATTGTTAAAGTCTGCCAAATTAAGTCGCAGCCAAATTCCTGAATTACCGGTGAATCAACTAAACGAAATTTACCATATTTTCCAGTTAAATATTTTCTTTCAATTTTTGTTCAAATTTGTCACTTACAATAACAAAAACAGTAATATGTCCATTCTCAATACCATGTTTGGGATTCATTTCATGAATATAAATTCATTGTTTTAACTTTTTGTCATTTTACACCTTCCATAAAAACAATTAGATGCAACTGTTTCCAAGTATGTCAAAAAATTTTCACCAAATTAATGACAAATACAGCATCCCTTCTAAACATGCACACTGACACAGGAGCAACAGGGCTATATTCCAATTGATCCTAAATCTACCGATCTTCTTAACAATACATTGATAATGATAAACTTGCTAATTATTTTTACCTATACTTGTTTGCATGACCAGCCTAGCCTATACATTTCTCTTTTTTGCTCAATGAGAATATTTTCTAGACAATTTATAACAGCGCCCTCTTTCTAAATGAAAGTCCACTAAAAGTTTACATGAGAGTTACTTCATGAAGACCACAGTAAGATTGTTTTCTATCATGAGGATGTCTCACACTACCCTACCTCGATCACGCATGCGCAAATTTTTTGGCTTTCAATCAGGTCGCTTTTGAGTATATCGACTGCTTACTCAAAAGGTTAATACGTTTGGTGCTCGGAGTGAGTCAATATTGCTATTCGCTACACTTCCAAGTTATATGATAGCTATAGAAAGAATGAAAATAATGAAAAATGAAAATAATATAGAATGAAAATAATATTGTTTTAAATTTTAAAATATTTGATATGTCATAGTACACGGTACACAGTTGCAAAAGTTGATCAATACAGGGTACAAGGAATGTAAATTGTTCAATAGTACAGGGAGCGAGAAAGTAAGCTGATTATACAGACATACTATGTCTCGACCTCATGTACATTTACGTTGCAAAGAGTGAAAGTAATGCTAAAAAGGCCGCCTGTTGATGCTTTGAGGTGTCATCAATTGTTATTTAATCCAAATAAAGTAAACATTATTTTGTAGATTTAGACACAGGCTTTCAGGTCGTATGCATTTTAGTCATAAAATTAACAAGAACGCTAGATTATAAGTGTTACTAGGGTATCAAATTGAAATAAAATAACGAAATTAAATATTAAGACGTTAATGATAAATGACTATCCGCTATCAGTATTAATGACTATCCGCTACTCAGAATAATTAAAATTGCCTGAACTACATGTGAAGAATCTTTCTATATAACCCCTTGAATGGTATAATTCACTACCGTCTTCAAAAATCGATCATTTAAAATGTTTTGTTCAAATTCACAAAATACAGTTGAATAACATACTAGAAAACGTATCCACCTATAACACGATGACACGCAGTTTAAATAATAGTTAACTGGGTTTTTTGTTACATATAAATGTAACATTTTCGAAGGGAAACTTACATGCTCCCTGTACATTGACAGATTTACTAAAATGTATCGTGTATTGCATTCGAGTTTTGCTTCACTGCGCCCACTATTATCTATCTTTGCCTATAGTGGCTTTTTGCCAACAATATTCTACAAACTGCTTGATGAATCAATTCTATGGCTGGTAGAACACTAGAAATAAATGTAAAATGTATTTTACGTTCAGAAATATGGAATTTAACCCATGTCCTCCATTTGCAACTGAGCTGTACCCTGTTTCCATTTTAAACGTGGTCACGTGGTAGGGTAGTGTGTGTCTGTAGACTTATTCATCACTGCAAATGTAGACATAACTTACCAAATGTTAAAAGATCTACTCTAATTTATCATGAAATATCACACATTTTATCCAAAATTCATTTGAATCACTTCAAGTAGATCAGAATGTCACATATAAACTCAAAACATTTTTTAAGATATGTTATACTAAGGATGTTTATTTAGCATCTAATTAACCTAAAGGCTAATTAGCAAGATCAGGATGCATCTGAGGTGTTAAATGAAACCAAATATATGTAATCAAAATATAATCAGTTAATTTACTATGGAAGTTGTCATAGAATCCAGACATGTTTTTTTTTCTTGGACATCAAAGACCTGGAGATTCATGAGAAAACTCATTTTTTGGTTTGGGAAATTTCTATGGGAATTCTGCCGGAGAACAATCCAGACATGGACGTCCTTGATTCATTAAAAACATATAATTTTGATGATACATGTAATTGTAATGATACAATGCCCCAATATTTTAGTTCCTATATTTGTATCGCTTCAACATCCCATAGATTCACATATTTCTACATATTTTAGCAAGAAGTGTGCAGGAGGTATAGCATCAATAACCCAGATACCAGTAGGTGGTTACCAGTTTCCCCACAAGGTGGCTAATTCTGGTCAGATAACATGGCGGATATTAAACTTGAATTTTCATCAATTTTGAAGGATCAATTATCTAATTACCCTGATGTATTTTGTATTTATACAGATTCAAATGCGGTATGTCAAGTAAAAGAAAATATACAAGAAAAGATATTTCACTTTTTGTGATTTTAGGGCATGGGGCCTATGGGAATCTACATGTGCTGACCAGAAGTCACATTTTCAAAATCACTTTTTCAATCAAAGGAGTGGTATCAATATGGAGAACCCCCATGGCCACAAATTCTTTCAAAATCATGCAGTTTTACAAGATTTAGAGCATTTTCACGTGATTTTGAGCCTAATTTGTCAAAGTGAACCCCCTGACATTTTTATGAAAAGTGACCCCACTTGGCAAAAGCTGGCTACGGGTCTGGCATGGATGTTGTAATAGTCTTGTTCTTGTTTTTAAATCGAGGCTTGTGACCTTTGATCCATTCAACTATTTTTATGACGTACAAAGCTTCTGGAAAAACATTCATCGTGATGTGTCTTTTTTAATATGACTTACAGGTCAACTCATAGTTAAAATATAAAGTCAGAAGCGTTTTTTAAACTCCCAGACAATACATGTTCATCTCCCCAATTTGAACTTTTCACGTGGTCTACTAATGAAATAAATCGACCAAAGTATGTTACTGAAAAATGGAACACCACGGGTATAAATTCATTGAAATTGTCCTATTTGCTATTCATTTTTAACCCAGCTGAGCAACTTATTTACAACAAAAAACAATTTTTGATTCATTTATAAAGTCAGTAGTAGTTTATTCAATCAACCTGCTGAGCTTATCATCACATGTCCATCCAACTCTTACTTATTTTCTTTAAATTTCTGATGATAGAAATCATCACTTACTATCTCTCAATTTGTAAAATAATCTGATTGAACTATTACTACACACTGCTCAGAGTATAAAAGTGATCAAGCAAAGAAACTGGGTAAGTGTCACAATTACAAACCCAGAATTATAAAGTTAGCATAATATTCAGGTATATTTGTGACATCCTCAAATTCAGTCATTTCAAACTATATCAGATTAATTTACCTATATGTACAGTAAAACCTGTGTTTGTCAAAACTCGAAAATAAACACTTCAAAATAGAAATATTTAGAGCTAAATTTTGGATGCCATATTGAGTCTTGTGTTACATTTTTAGGACCCCATGAATTCTTAATGCCAATTGCTCTTAATATATCCACATTGGCTGATCCTAGCAGCATTCACTTTTAACAGGTTTCACAGCACACATATATTATATCCATATTCAGCCTAAAGCTATTATACCATATATAATTCCTGCTTTCAGTTCAGTCTAACTGACAGACCCTTCAACAATCAGTGATGTAAAATGTGAGATACATGTATCTTCTGAATACATTTCTTCCACTGCAGGCTCTCTCCCTATGCTTACCTTAAAAATATTACTGCAATACGTTATTGTTTCTATACATGTTATTATAAAACTATTTACATAAAGTGAACTCTGTTTCATGTCAATGTGCTCTTTTTAAGGGCGACATTCACATTTAACAGAACCCATTTTAGCCCATAAGATCAACTAGGCATACTAAAATGAACACTGATTTTTCTAGTCGTCATGTCTAAAATACCAATATGATGTCCCGTTGCAACATTTTTAAACACTGTAAACAATGAAGCAAGGAAAATCACACTAAAATTATATACAATTTCTGAGTTTTAAATACTAATGTAAAAGGTATTTTAGGCAAGAAAACTATGGATTGTCAATTTTGTTCAAATGTCGTCTGCAAAATTGTTCATTATGAGGTGCTGCCACCTATTAAGTAGGTTTGCACTCTTAACCTGCCAGACTGAAGAGTACAAAAAGACAAAATAGGTTTACATTTGGCAAAGTTCGAAGATATGTGTAGCAAAATTATGAGAAATATTATAAATTTCAAAGAAGGTGGTCTCCCATAGTACCTTCACAAACCAAGGATGGCGAAAAAGTTAAGAAAATGAACTATGGGATCTATTCTATTTTGTAAAATTAATAATTCAATATCATACTTTTGCTACACAACTCATGATTATGATAAATCACCTATACTAAGTACATATCATTTATAATCAATCACAATATTATAAATCAAGAAACCCATCATATTATGCACCAAAAGCACAAGTATATCATATTCTTCAGCTATAGATCAACATTATTTATATTAAAATTTAGTAAGAGCAAAAGTTTTAAAAGCACAGATAATACAGACTACCCACCACCATGGGGTACAGGTTTGCTAACCAATCAATATTCATAAGAATTCAATTTCATCAGATGGACTGAAGTAGTAAAATGCAGAATATGGTGTGGTCACACATTACATTATGTATTTTACAACTTAATATTTTTTCAACCTCATTCTCCCCGACCTGTTTGTATTCTTATATGCATAAGCCTTTCTGAACATTCACAAAAACAAACAGATTCAATTCACTGATTTTGAAACAAATACAATATACATTATAGGAAAAATTGGACCATTTTGCATCAGTATGTAGTCAAGCAAATAAAACTAAAATCAAATTTGCAGATAAGGTAAACAGATAAACAGCTTTACACATTTACAATTTCCAAATTGACAAATATACAAACATATTTCAAATATAATATACAAGTACATGTTTTAAATACAGTATTTCAAATATGATATACCTATTTCAATCAAATACATTGCAATTGTGCATACAGTTTTCAAGTCAACAGATTTACAAAAAGTAAATAGAGTTCCTATATGTTTTTCAAACTCATACATTTTTCATATTTGAGAAACGGTCTCTTATATATCATACTAACTGATAAAATTCAAATGGAATAAGACATGACTGAATGAATATGAATTTTCATAAGAGATTTTTGGGAAATTAAGAGTTTGATTTTAATGGGTTTTTGTATGTATTTGTACAGACATTGATTAATGAACTTTCAATCACGAAACATTAATTCAATTTATGGTTTTCACTGATCACATATTTCCACAATCGCATGGTCTCTCTCGTAGATGCAGTGCAGTGCATCTCCAAAATTCTCCTGTAGGAGAAGTCTCAAATTATAAAATCCAGATTATTTTTCAAAGGTAAATATTATATATTTTAAACTCAGTCTGATAACGGAATAGCATACCAGATCTCCGACGAAAAATATTGAAAACTGCATGGCCACCCTTGTCTGGGGACAAACATGGTAATGTCTTCAGTCTGATTCAACATAGAGAAAACAATATGTCAACACTTTTTGGTGGTGCCATAAAAAACTGAATATCCTGAGAACAGAGTCTTATAAGAACCTTTGTAAACAAAACTCTCTTTTAAGAAATGAAGTCAACAAATGCAAAGGGTAAAAATTGGATAGAAAAAAAAATATATTTGTTATTAAGTGCTTTACAAGTATTCTCGTATATATATTGGACACTGGACAATGTTGATATTATGAATAAAGCACATCATTGTTATGCTAGAGTTTAAAGGTCCTAGATTTAGAGTAGTTCTACTTCAAACCATACTTGAGCGCCTAACACCATGGACTTACATATAGTAAGTCAGTGCTCAAACCATGTAACAGAGCACAAAGCTCTTTAAGTGGGTTCCTGTTATTGTTAGTCAAAACGGAAATATGTTTCTTCAATTTGAGTCACAAAAATGAATTTAAAATTTTTGAGAAATAGAATTCATCGAAATTAATGAATCCTTATATACTTTCACTTCTGAAGTCCCAACATATGGTCAAAAGTGCGCACCTGTTCACTTGAACAACATTTATCATTAAGGAAAATTCAATTTCCTCATGAGCTATGACAACTCTACTATGAAGTTATTGTAGTTTTTGTCCTAGTGATAGATGTCACTCAAAGTGGACAGTTTAATTCTGTTTTTATAAGGGACAGCCTGGCAGGACCCATGTCCCTTGTGGAATAAAATATATAACCCTATTGTCAAACCATACTTATTTCAAACTTTCAACTAATATCCGAGATACAATCCGTTTTTGTTCATATATCAAATTCAGAAAACAAGCTGAATTAAAATGTGATTAATGTAAATAAAAATGAAATTTATCTTGTACTTAAGGTATTAATGACTAAGTCCAGGGCAACAGTCTAGACACTATCTCCTGAAATTAGGACTTGGAGGTCACTAAAAAACAGACTTTCAAAATCAATTAATAAACAAATTTTGATCAAATAATTAATCATTATTAATTGGTTATATGTCTTAATTTTGAGAGTATATATCATTGTCATGAAGGTTAATTTTCTTAAAATCCCCTTGAACTATTTACCTTTTTGGTAAAATATGTTTATTTTGCTACCTTATATCAAAATTATGTCTGCTAATTATTAAGACAGTCTGCTTGAAATAAGTATGGTTGGTCATGCAGGTACATATGTTCCATTTTATAATTCTATTAGACTAAATTATGAATCATATCACAGTGGCCAGACAATTTTTTTAATGCCTCATAATAACTTATTGCACACATTTTTCTTAACTTTCCATACACTCAAGACTAGACAGGGTTGCCACAACATTTTCAAATCAAAATTCCCAGATTTTTCCCTAATTCAAGCATAAAATTACAAACCAAATGTATTGATTTTATATACGAAAGTTCACTGACTGGATATTTAAATGATTTTAGCATGTTTTTTCATGTATCTTTTTATTTTGTGGTCACAGACTTCAAATTCCCTTTCTTTTACCAGAATTCTGGAATTCCTTAATCGTTTTAGGCATTTTCGGGAAAATTCCTCAATTTTTCCCTGATCATGGCAACCCTGCTAGAGTACTCTATCATACATTTTTATTTATCATTCATTTCCAATAGTTTATCATGATGCATAGTTAAATCAATGTAATGACCACTTTAACATGATATCTAATAACATACAGTATACAATGTCAATTATGCCATGCTTTATCACAATATGAGTTTGTACTTCATGCTGCACGGATGTACTTTATTTTGAGCTACATGTAATTCCATTCTTTTTCACTCTTATTTGTAAATTAAGCATGACATTCATGACATTGTGTCTACAATATGTTATCATCAGGTCTCTGCTGCAGAGACTGAGCCTACCCTAGCCTTCAATGGTTGGTCAAAGTCTATGTAATGTTCTTCAATGGTTTGACGCTGCGTGATGAAGTACTTAAAGAACTCATAGACTGACCAAGATAACGCCGTTGAAGGCATCTGATATACAATTCTTGCATTTACCCCACGGAAAAACCCTGGAAAGCCACGGAATTCATATACAGTTCTAAATGCTTGTGCCATCCCATCGATAGCATTATGCTTTGTTAGAGCACATTTTTCCTGGGTGTTCAAAAGGGTTTTGCAGACATCTAAAGGAGTTGTGACTGCAGCAGCCATTGCTCCTGCCAGGCCTCCAGAGACCATATGAGATACAGGGTTGTACTCACGATCCTTGTTCAACAAATCTTGGCATAGTTCGTACATAACAAAGTGTATAGATTGGAAAGGGATGTTCATGGCTAGCTGGGTGGTAAAGCTGCGGTAGAATGCAATACCCCCCTCTGTCCTGTATACAGTCCTGAAGCAATCCATACAACCTTTGTAGGGACTGTTATATACCTGCATACGCTGCTTGACCACTGGAATATGAAATGTAATGATTAAAATGACAGGTTCTCTTCCATCAAGCTTAGGAGTAAGCCTCTCATCTTAATTTACCCAAAAGTGAACAATATAAAGAGTGTGACAGCTATAACACTACAAGACAAACCCTGTCAAACTTTATCAGATGAATTATTGTACCCATTACATATATGAAGTAAATGAAAAAAATAACCTACTCAAAGGAATTTGAGAAAATCAAATTAATTTTTTTACAGCAGTCAGAAAGCAATTCAAATAATTATCCCATATAAAAGTGAATTATTTATCATACTATCCAGTATATTTATATGCTGTACACGCTAAATGGATTATTGTAGGAATTATTGGAAAAAGTATTTGCTTAGCTGTAAAGAATATTTTTGCAACCTATATCATAAATGTAACTGTGTATCATATATAATCGATGAAACTTATCTCCTAGATATAAAAGAAAAGTATTGATATCATCGAAGAAAATAACATATTTTCAGAAAATAAATCAAATGTAGATCATATCATTAGATCTTATTACATTACCGGCCAGGCATAGACACTGATGGAACTTCCATCAATTCTTGTAACAGAACAATGACGGTCATCCATTTTGACAACATCATGTTTGATCAAATTTGTTGCTCAATATGGCTGCATCTCTGCACAGTGTCAACAAGTCAAGTAACACTACATGTACAACCATATAATTTATCAACCATTTAATAATAATACACAACCATAGATGTAATAATTTCCAAACCATATAGCTAATGAACGATATCCAATATTCAATTTGTCATTCAAAGCAAACAAATTTGACTGACATCTCTCTTTCACCATTAGAAATATAAAATTGAATCTTTTACAAGGCCTCTGTCATTAACACTCACAATTAAAAGAGAATTGGTAAGCTATTTTTAGCAAAATTAACCTCTCATTTACATAAATATTCTACTAATGTAATGTGGTCAAATGGTCCTATTTAAACAAAACATCCTCACTCTGTATTGCAACTAAGCCTCCCAAACTACTAGTTCAAATACATGCTCTATTCATGACTTGTACTTACCTTATTAGCTACATGAAGTCTAATATTCTAAGCCAGCATCAATATCATCAGCAATAACAAAATAATGATACCATGAATACTGGTACTGAATAGAACCATGAATACTGGTACTGAATAGTACCATGAATACTGGTACTGAATAGTACCATGAATACTGGTACTGAATAGTTTTATAAGAAAGTACATGTAACAATAGCCAATATAAGAAGCATGAGCCAAGAGATTGCATGTATAGTTTAACTGTGATCCCAACAAGAAAACCTTCACATGGGAACACCTCTCTTTAGTGAACACCTCAATATGTGAACACTAATTATCCCATTTTTGATAATAATCAACTTTAATCCACCAGATCTTCTTAATGTGGACACTTCTTCAGACATTTAGTTTGTTTGAGGAGTGTTCACTTAAATTAGGTTTTACTGTATAGAGTTTACAAGAACATTAGAAGAGGACTTTCATTTGCTTTATGCCTTGTTTGAGATAATGAAATTAGCTGAAATTATGGATGTCAGAAAAGACATTTCAGAAAATGAGAGGAGGAAAATCAATATTTCTACATAGAATTACAAAGCCTAGCAAAAGATGTGATGTAAAAAATGTTTGTATGGATACAAATCATACATTGGAAATGTGAAAGTTGATAGAAATTTGAAGAATTTATTGCTATATTTAATATTTATACAAGCCTGGGTTGGCTAGTTTGGTTTGGAGGTTGTATGCATTGCAGTAATGTTGAAATTGCTGCAATTAGGTTGTACTGGTTGTAGTAAGGTTGTAGTGTGTAGGTTGCAAGACTGGCTGACACCATGCTATAATGCTGGCCTACTATGGCATCTTACCATCAGCAGGATTCATTACAGCATCATGTAGCACTGTAGCAAAACACCCAGCAGCACCTGAAACAGAAATGAGCAAAAGTGTTATCCTAGAAATAGCCACAAAAATATGAAACACTTCAGAAATGAGTAAAGTGGGTTCGATTCTCACCAGTGTGGAGTGACTTTTTCACATCAGCCCTTAGCATAGGATTTGATCCTATGTTTCAGATTAACTTAATTTGGTAAAGTATAAATTAATACAAATGAAAATTTTTTTTACAAAGAATAACTCGTATATTTCTAGGGTCTATAACGTAAATAGCTCAATATAGGTATTAATTTCTGTTTCATGAAAAGATAAGTGAAAGCTGGTTGACCTCAACGCACTAATATCATTAATGATTTATCTCCCATACATTCAAAAACTCATGTAGACCGCAGCATACATGTCCTTCTATTAGTGTATTTTGATAAGAGTCAACTTTAAATGGATTAAAAAAGTATACCATACTAAGTGCATTAACATGAACTTAGTCTAATAGAGTCAGGGATGCATTAGATTTTTCTGATTAGAAAATAGACTCAAATACATGCAATCATAAATGTAATCAGTCACTTATCATATAATTGGGTCTTAAATCTTTGTATGATTACATTCAACGTAAAAATATATTACATTTGAGTTAGAATTAGCAAAACACTTCCCTCAAAAATCCCTTAATCCAAAAGATATTAAATCAACAACTCTTTTTAAGTCCTTAACTTTAACTTTCTATTGAAAGCGCATGCTTTAACTTAAAAAAGCATCTATCTCATAATTTTTGAATCCTTCAGTTCTTACTATCTTATTTTACAAAATCCCTGATATTTCTAGATATACCCCCATCTTATCTTATATAGAGTTTTGAACAAGGAATTATATATGTGGCATTTTGAACTATGTTAACATCTACCAAAGGCATATGATGATTTAAGTGTTGTATGAAATAGATACATAACCTTGTACTAGTCACATTCTACATGTTTATGTGTTAATGGACTTATTTTAGAACATAAACATTCTCAAGGTCAGATTTGACTTTTCCATTATAATAGAAAACATATATTACATATCTTATATGATATCATTCAGCTGTGGCAGTAGTCATATCATTTTGTGAGTCATTCTAACTTTGATAGTTGCAGAAAGTGAGTCAGCAAAAAAAAGTTGAATCAAAGCTTAAAAGTGTTTTTCTTGATTAAAAATATGTACAAAATGTATAAATTTATAAGTACTACTTTTGCATGTGCAATTATATCAAGCACTATCCCATTGCACTTACATAAAGTGCAATCACATTGCAGTGCTATCCCTCTATACTCAAATCAAGCACTTCACCAGTGCATTAATACACACAGTGTGCATTGGAGCACTCACCATTTGCAAGAGGGGCCAATGCATTGTTTTTACTAGCCCCACCATGAAGAAGTGTCTTTAATTTTTCATAACAGGCAAAATACATAGCGTGAGCAGGTCCAGCCCCCACGACTAGAGCATTGATGCCTCGTAAAGTATTGCCTATTCCCTCATAGCGGACGATACGGTAGAAAGCATCAGCTAAACTTCTATAGTTGGCTTTAGGGTCTGGAACAAGGCACTGCATCCTTGTCTGAAATAATTAAACATAATTTATTGATTAACCTGAATTTAAAACTACCAAAGAGTCTGCAATGAGGAGAGAAAAGACATAGCAAGCAATATTTAAAATTTTATTTCATGACCAAGGCATTTATGTTTTTATGCCATGTCCAACTTTTGGAGATTATCTAAACAGTGCTGCCTGAAATTGCATCTTTTACCCTCAACTTTCATTAATGAGTATCAATTAATAAATCTAAGACATATTATACATCAAATGAAAGCTTGTATAAAGCACAGATACTAGTTTTCTGCATGAAAAAAATTAAAATTCTGCAAAAAATTCTGCAAGAAAAAAAGCAAATTCTGCAAGGAGAAAATCGAAATTCTGCACAAATTTTCAAAAAAAGTCCAAATTCTGCAATCTTTTAAAACGATGAAAATTGACGTAGCAACGGAAACGGAAGTCAGCTACTTTCTAGGTAAGAACTGCGCATCATTAGCGAACATGCTTTAGCGAATTTAAACGTGATAGAATGTTGAATTTCACGGTGAAATCATACTTGTACTCAATAATGATTGATTGTTGGACATAAACAGACACTCTTCAAATACCCCGCAAAGGTAGGAGATCGTAAAATATGTAATTTCTGGAAATTCTGGTAATTCCGCGGGATTTTCATGAAAATCAGGGATTCTGCAAAAAATTGAAGTTTTGTCAAATTCCGTCCACGCCGCGGAATTACGGAATACTAGTTTCTATGATAAAGTATACGAGAATATCTTAAAATTAAAAAGACAAGTTCCCACCATATGGAACAATAACCATGTACAGTTGGCCAAATGTTTAATATCAACTTGCCGTTAACTCAAATTATCCCAATACTTAATATATCTTGAGGGCTGTAGTAAGACTGTGCAACCAAGGGGATAAAGATTGCAAAATGTGGCAAACAGGCAAAAAAGGTTACTCATATGTATAGTATGGCAACCTGCCTATTTGCTTGACTGTGTAATTGAAAATTATAGGAGGTCTAATTCTAAAATCACAATTTATATAATTGGCCAACATATAACTGTAATAATAACAATCGTCTGCCTTTTAACTTAGCTAAGAACAAAATAAAATAAAAACAAGGCATTAACATGACAAAATGTCACCACCTAGTTAGGTCATTGAAGGTCAAATGTCAAATCTAAAGTCAGATTTTGATTTCTGAGAACACGTAGATTATTTTGAAAAAAAAAATTAGTCAATTTGAAGCAAGTTGAAAAAAGACCTTTTTGACCTTGAAAAGGTCATTGAAGGTCAAAGGTCAAATCTAAAGTCAGATTTGAACTTCTGAGAACTTGTAAAGTCAAATTTGAACTTCTGAAAAGATGTAGATGATTTTGAAAAAAAAATTTGGTCAATTTGAAGCAAGTTGAAAACAGACCTTTTTTGACCTTGAGAAGGTCATTAAAGGTCAAATGTCAAATCTAAAGTCAGATTTGAATTTCTGAGAACATGTTGATGATTTTGAAAAAAAAAATAAGTCAATTTGAAGCAAGTTGAAAAAAGACCTTTTTGACCTTTTTGACCTTGAGAAGGTCATTGAAGGTCAAATGTCAAATCTAAAGTCAAATCTAAAGTCATATTTGAATTTCTGAGAACATGTAGATGATTTTGAAAAAAAAATTTAGTCAATTTGAAGCAAGTTGAAAAAAGACCTTTTTGACCTTTTCTGACTTTGAGAAGGTCATTGAAGGTCAAATGTCAAATCTCAAGTCAGATTTGAATTTCTGAGAACACGTAGATGATTTTGAAAAATGTTTTTAGTCAATTTGAAGCAAGTTGAAAACAGACCTTTTTGACCTTTTTTGACCTTGAGAAGGTCATTGAAGGTCAAATGTCAAATCTTAAGTCAAATCTTAAGTCAGATTTGAATTTCTGAGAACACGTAGATGATTTTGAAAAAAAAATTTAGTCAATTTGAAGCAAGTTGAAAACAGACCTTTTTGACCTTTTTTGACCTTGAGAAGGTCATTGAAGGTCAAATGTCAAATCTATAGTCAGATTTGAAAGTCAAATGTCAAATCTAAAGTCAAATCTTAAGTCAGATTTGAATTTCTGAGAACATGTAGATGATTTAAAAAAAAATTTAGTCAATGTGAAGCAAGTTGAAAAAAGACCTTTTTGACCTTGAGAAGGTCATTGAAGGTCAAATGTCAAATCTAAAGTCAGATTTGAACTTCTGAGAACATGTAGATGATTTAGAAAAAAATTGAAGTCAGTCTAAACAGTATTAGTCAATTTGAAGCAAGTTGAAAACAGACTTTTTGACCTTTTTTAACCTTGAGAAGGTCATTGAAGGTCAAATGTCAAATCTAAAGTCAGATTTGAAGGTCAAATGTCAAATCTAAAGTCAAATCTAAAGTCAGATTTGAATTTCTGAGAACATGTAGATGATTTTGAAAAAAATTTAGTCAATGTGAAGCAAGTTGAAAAAAGACCTTTTTGACCTTGAGAAGGTCATTGAAGGTCAAATGTCAAATCTAAAGTCAGATTTGAACTTCTGAGAACATGTAGATGATTTAGAAAAAAAATTGAAGTCAGTCTAAACAGTATTTGTTAAGTTATAGGAAGTTATAAGAAATTGTTACAGACGCCGGACGCCAACCGCCAACCACCAACCGCCGTCGCAAAAAAAAACGGAGACCAAAACAATATGTCACCACTTTTGGTGGTGACATAATAAAAAGTCATATGTTTGCAGATGTGGTTAATTTTTTTCAGTGTATTTTTCACTGAAATTATGTTATCTATTTTTAAAATGCCAGTATTAACTATAATATATTTAGCACGGTTGAATTTAAGAGCTACTGCAGCTCCACACTTGGCTCAGAACCATACCTAAAAGTGACATGTTTTGAGTTTCTCAGAATGTAGTACAGAAGCAGTTGATAAAATAGAACGTACCTTTTTAGTATTATCATTGTATGTGTGTACACTATGGTACACTATTATATAGGGAAAAAAGGTATTTTGGTTTCACTGCATAAAATATAGATAAACAAGGCATTAACATGACAAAATGTCACCACCTAGTTGCTCACAATATTATGAGTTCAAACTTAAGTCAGATTTGAATTTCTGAGAACTTGTAAAGTCAAATTTGAACTTCTGAAAAGATGAAGATGATTTTGAAAAAAAAATTTGGTCAATTTGAAGCAAGTTGAAAACAGACCTTTTTTGACCTTGAGAAGGTCATTAAAGGTCAAATGTCAAATCTAAAGTCAGATTTGAATTTCTGAGAACATGTAGATGATTTTGAAAAAAAAATTAGTCAATTTGAAGCAAGTTGAAAAAAGACCTTTTTGACCTTTTTTGACCTTGACAAGGTCATTGAATGTCAAATGTCAAATCTAAAGTCATATTTGAATTTCTGAGAACATGTAGATGATTTTGAAAAAAAATTTAGTCAATTTGAAGCAAGATGAAAAAATACCTTTTTGACCTTTTTTGACATTGAGAAGGTCATTGAAGGTCAAATGTCAAATCTAAAGTCAGATTTGAATTTCTGAGAACATGTAGATGATTTTGAAAAAAAAAATTAGTCAATTTGAAGCAAGTTGAAAAAGACCTTTTTGACCTTTTTTGACCTTGACAAGGTCATTGAAGGTCAAATGTCAAATCTAAAGACATTATTGAATTTCTGAGAACATGTAGATGATTTTGAAAAAAAAATTTAGTCAATTTGAAGCAAGATGAAAAAATACCTTTTTGACCTTTTTTGACATTGAGAAGGTCATTGAAGGTCAAATGTCAAATCTAAAGTCAGATTTGAATTTCTGAGAACATGTAGATGATTTTGAAAAAAAAATTTAGTCAATTTGAAGCAAGTTGAAAAAAGACCTTTTTGACCTTTTTTGACTTTGAGAAGGTCATTGAAGGTCAAATGTCAAATCTTAAGTCAAATCTAAAGTCAGATTTGAATTTCTGAGAACACGTAGATGATTTTGAAAATTTTTTTTAGTCAATTTGAAGCAAGTTGAAAACAGACCTTTTTGACCTTTTTTGACCTTGAGAAGGTCATTGAAGGTCAAATGTCAAATCTTAAGTCAGATTTGAATTTCTGAGAACACGTAGATGATTTTGAAAAAAAAATTTAGTCAATTTGAAGCAAGTTGAAAACAGACCTTTTTGACCTTTTTTGACCTTGAGAAGGTCATTGAAGGTCAAATGTCAAATCTAAAGTCAGATTTGAATTTCTGAGAACATGTAGATGATTTTGAAAAAAAAATTTAGTCAATTTGAAGCAAGTTGAAAAAAGACCTTTTTGACCTTTTTTGACCTTGAGAAGGTCATTGAAGGTCAAATGTCAAATCTTAAGTCAAATCTTAACTCAGATTTGAATTTCTGAGAACACTTAGATGATTTTGAAAAAAAAATTTAGTCAATTTGAAGCAAGTTGAAAACGGACCTTTTTGACCTTTTTTGACCTTGAGAAGGTCATTGAAGGTCAAATGTCAAATCTAAAGTCAGATTTGAAGGTCAAATGTCAAATCTTAAGTCAGATTTGAATTTCTGAGAACATGTAGATGATTTTGAAAAAAAATTTAGTCAATGTGAAGCAAGTTGAAAAAAGACCTTTTTGACCTTGAGAAGGTCATTGAAGGTCAAATGTCAAATCTAAAGTCAGATTTGAACTTCTGAGAACATGTAGATGATTTAGAAAAAAATTGAAGTCAGTCTAAACAGTATTTGTTAAGTTATAGGAAGTTGTAAGAAATTGTTACAGACGCCGGACGCCAACCGCCGGATGCCAACCGCCAACCACCAACCGCCGGACGCCGTCGCAAAAAAACGGAGACCATAACAATATGTCACCACTTTTGGTGGTGACATAATAAAAAAAAACGGAGACCATAACAATATGTCACCACTTTTGGTGGTGACATAAAAAGATAAAGATGAAGGAGGAAAATAAGAACACTTTCAAAAGGATAAGACCTTGAAGAGTCCCATAAAAGTATGAGGCAAATACTTAACAAATATATGATTTTGCCAAAATTAGTAGGTAAATTTCAATTTAAAGGTTGCCATTTACATGCATTATCTTTTTGGTTGATAAGGTACAGGTTTATTGATATATTAATGAATTGTTAACCTTTGCCCTCGTCAATTAATTTTTGTTGGCTAGTCTCAAAGTGAAATTGCATGTAGTTAATATTGTGCCATAAAATTGATACTAGACATACCTACTCCACTCTACAGTGTATACCCTGAGCGCAGACAGGGCTTTCAGTAACGTGTCCTTAACATTAGGAGGACTCGGATTTTGATGGACTCCAAAAAAATTTAATGATCCATCCCTTTGACACAAAGCCCTGTGTTTTCATTAACAAAATTTATAGACTCAAAAAAAGATCATACCTCCAGTCTTTTATTTGGTCAAAATCCGCTAAATAAACAAAGGATATTTAGACTAATTCTATTTCTAAAGAAATACAATATTTTCTTTCAAAGTTTCTTTTCCGGAAGATGATTTCCGATTGAAATAGTATGAGGCCTGTGATAGGACTTTTGCAGCGCATCCGCTTAAAATGGAACTAATAAATGGAACCTAGCGGAGATTGCCCCTGGTGCAAATTGCTTCGAAATATGATTTCGTTCAGTGTAAAAATGTGACTTTGAATTCCCAGGATCCTTTTTTCATGGGACACACTTTTTTGAGTGGGACTCACTTTTTGAAAATTAATCCGCACTCTTGGACAAACCTACTGAAAGCACTGGACAATTAAGTCAATATTACAGTTTATCAGCCCTACCCCCACTGCCAGTCGCCATCACAGCTGGGTCATACATAAGTCAACCTAAACCAATCCAACTGATATTTTCCCAATTAATCAACGAGCTCAGAGAGTTCATGGGTTTCTCTTAAAATTTAGAATGTAGACGAAGCTATCTTTTAAGACTTGGTAAGAATACAAAGGGTAAATATAATTAGAATGGATGACATACTAAACTCAATACGAAAAGGTTGTCTTTATATGTTTGAATAAACTGAAAGAGAACTTTGTGAAATCTATTATAAAACATGTTTATCTCAAAAGTATAAGAACTCAATGTCACATCAATATACACCTGTATGTGCAATCATAATTCATAAGGTTCTGTAACTGTCATGTCTACGCAAGTACATTTATGTAAGCCTTCTTTGAGAGACTTCCTTTTGGGACAATGAAGGTCTTTGTGACTTTGCTTGCATTGATGCTGTTATGTACATGTTAATGAATCAAGAATTTTTCGTGATATAAAATGTTTGATGCATTTTTCTAAACACAGAAATAATTAGCCTAAGGATAATTTTTTTCTTTTGTGAGGAAATTCTTCAAATCTATAACTTCAGTAGCCATTTTTGTTTCATCCTCCGACGCAGGTGTCCAGAATCCGTACCTCCTTCTTCCCCCCTGCTATAATAACCAATTTGGAAGCACCCGATTAAACTGAGTCACGTGATGTAATTACGCACCGATGACGTATACATGATTGCTGTCGCAAATCAAATTGCGAGTTATTAATCGGGGAAATGCCAACTGCTTATAGCAGGGTGTAAAAAGAAAGAAGATATTCTGGATTTTGAAGCCCTGTGATCGCAGGATGTTTTTGTTTATTATCAAACTTTTCATGTGAAGCGAAATTGTTGCCAAACAAATTGGCTAACTCCCATGCAGTGTCTCGGAATAGTAGTTGAAGACTAGCACAGCCACAGAGTATGATAAATTGATAGTCGTCTATTCACAAGAATATTAAATGGAGAATAACTTGCAACTTGTTCAGTGTACTTATCAACTGCGTTTCAAAACGCAGCCCCACAGATCTAACGTGTGGACTAGGGGGAAGCCATGTTTCTTTTCTCGCATGGATCGACGGAGATCATGCGAGATTTTAATTTTCCAGAAATCAAACATGGCGGAAAACAAAAATTCAAACTTTTAAGTAATTGTCAAAGTTACCCCATTTCTCATGTCGACATTACAACACATGTTGACGTTACACCTTACTCACTTCGAGAGCCATGTTAGATTTTGAAACTTATGGCTCTCGAACAGAGAAATTGACAGCTGAATAATAGTGACCTTTGAAACATGAATTAAGTCGATCAGCGGCTTACTTTTGGTCTGTAACTGTGTCTTACATCAGTATCATCACACCGTGCAAGTATTGGAGCGCTGAAATACTTCTTTTTCGATCAAGACTTGTAAATTGTTCATCGAGTGAATGTTTTTTCGACCTATTTCCAATATGGCGGTTTGCTAGGAGCGAGATAAGCAACGAACAAAATGAATTTTGAGAATGAGTTAGGTTCGGACAACCTCCGGAGATTTCCGAAAATCTCTGAGCAGAAAACTACATATTGGAATTTGGCAGAAAAAACATTCACTCGACTAACAATTACAAGTCTTGATCGAAAAAGAAGTATTTCAGCGCTCCAATACTTGCACGGATTGATGATACTGATGTAAGACACAGTTAGAGACCAAAAGTAAGCCGCTGATCGACTTAATTAGTGTTTCAAAGGTCACTATTATTCAGCTGTCCAAGTGCGCCGTTGGAAAGCTATTATAAAATCCACATAGCTTTCGCAGGAAGTAAGTTACCCCTTTGCCTAGGCATGGTACAGCGATAGGATGTCTCTAAATTTACTTTTTCCACACAACCAATTTAAAAGGAAGCAAAATTGAACCAGTCATCAAATTATGATAAATTCTACATAATGCAATATGATCTGATTTCTTACTTTGACACAATCAACAGGATACATGACACAGTGTTCCATTATTCCTGCAGCAGCTCCTGCCAACATGTGAGTTGAGACGGTACTCGTTTCAGGTAGAGCTTCATAGTCATCGTCTGACATTTTGACTCGCCGATATTGTCTTAATAAAATCCAGAAATGTTATTTAACGTTTATAGGTGGTTACATCTTGTTTGTGTCACAATACCATGAAATATTGTGTGGAATTTAGACGTCCGATCGGGTGGTCAGCTTCGCCATGTTAAGTGTATCAGCCAATTAAATTACTGAAAATTGGAATAGTCCAAATTTAGGGGGCTATAATAATTTTGTAATCAATATTGCAATTTATTTCTCAAATGCATTTCAAAAGAAGAGATCATAGTTGTTGCAATAGATCCCGTACAGATTCTCTTGTAGTAGGATCAGAAGCTCAAAGAATAATATTGCATTGAAATTGGCTCGAGGCTGGATTTTGCAATCAATATTTTGGCCTAGCACCCCTCATATTAATCTCGAATAACCTCGCGAGATAAGACATGGTGGACAACATTTTGAAAAGTAGTGAATTTCTCCACATTTTTGGAAAATACTGAGTATACCATGTCTGGATCTGGACAACATCAGGGTCAGACTGATCCTAAAGTAGTACGAAACATTGTAGACCGACTGAAGAGCCAAGGGTTGTTTGACAAGTTCCGAAAAGAATGCCTTGCTGATGTAGATACAAGGGTAAACGAATTTTCACTTTGTTTTATTTTTTAGTAAACACACTGAACAATAAGTATTTGGCAAACGGATCAAACTTATAATCTAAGAAAGTGTAAATTGTCACTCATTATTTTTCGTGACTGAAATTCCCTTCAAATTCCCCTGCTTATTACTAGTGTTGTCACGATTATCGATACATCGCGATTTACTCGAGTCTCTAGCTTACAGCTAGACGAAACTTCATTGATTTCGTATGTACTGTGCTACACGCACCTACACGCACCTAGAACTCATTTTTAATAAATTTTATAAATATTTTTAAGAATATTAATCATATTTAGGATGAAGCGTTGCTTGTCTGGATTTAGATATTTCAAAATTTAATTTCGGAGTTTGACACATGGTGAAATTTTCTCGCTTTAGCTTAAAATGGCTTCCGGTTCTGGACGTCAATAACATTTGAAATTATTCTCGCTTAAAGAAATCAAATATAACAATAGATTCAGACGGGGATGTGAGCTGATGTTCTTCAAATCTATACATAAAGGTATATTTCATATTATTATGCCATATTTACTGTGCGTGTGACACAATGATTTACAATATTTATAATACTAAGGCAGCTCAATCTTCCTCCTCAAAGCCGGAATATAGACAAGGCTTTGGACCGAAGTAAATCGCGATATACATCACCAAAGCTGATTCTGGCGATGCATCGATGTCTGAAACAAAACATTGATGTGTTTTAAAAAAATTAATTTGCTAAAAATCACCCTTTCTTATCTTATTTTGACGCAAATCGATTACCTTTCTTATGTCTTATTTCATTTTCCAATGTTTTCTGATATTCTCTCGCTTTTAAACTGTTTCAGCTAGTCGAAATGAACCATTAATCTAAAAAGATTACTTTACTTTCATTTCACCGTTACTAGAATTTCCCGTATGCACCAGCGTACTCTTATTAATTTGTTCTGTTCGGTATTTTAGTGCATTAGCATTCGATATTTCAGTGCACTTTTCTCAGACTTTTTCTCGATGTGCATCGATGTTCACTACTGAAAATTGCCGATGCATCGATGTACGATTATGGCACATTGCGACAACACTACTTATTACCCTATTTCTTGAGTTTTGATAGAAACAAGAAAGATCAGTAAGGCAAATTAGAAGATGGTGTCAAATTACTTCAGAAGTTAATTTTGATTATCCCGTGCCAGGACTATAGTCCTGAGAACGTCTCAATCTTTTGCCTGTGCGAATTCAACATGGGAGAATTTTCTACGCCTCTTACACTAAAATACCTACTTCAATAGATTCCTGGGTATTTTAGCATTCTTTTTGTGTAGTTGAATCCACAATTATCTTGGTTTATCGGCAGAACGGGAACATTTTTCTTTCATCGAGAGAGACTCCATCACTTTTCAAGATGGCGGTTGGATTTAAAAGGGGATTCCCCCTTTGACTCAGGCCCGAAAGTACCAATAAATGGAGGAATTTGACGGATGAAATAAGTTAAATATTACACGCAAATACTGTGATCAAAAACCAATTAATTTCTTCGTTCTGCTGATAAACTCAGATAATTGTGGATTCAACTACATGTACACAAAAAGAATGCTAAAATACCCAGGAATCTATTGAAGTAGGTATCTTAATTGTAAGAGGCATAGAAAATTCTCCCATGTTGTAATCGTACAGGCAAAAGAATAAGACATTCGCAGGACTATAGTCCTGGCACGGGATAAAATTTTGATATCATGTCATATTCTACAATAGGTCACTGCCGTTGAGGGAAATAGTGCAAATATTTTCCAGAGGAAATATCCTGTCCACTGACATGCCATTGGACAGGATTTATACTCGAGTCTCTAGCAAAGTATTGGTTGGTTGGTTATATATTTCTTCTGGTGCTTTAATGTCACCAATGTTTGCTACAAGTCATTTAAATATTATTTTGAAAATCGTAATGAGACTATTTCATCAATTGGAATTGAAAGGAACACTGTCCTTTGTAAGAAATTGCATACTTTCATCGGAAATTTGATCAAACAGGGATTTATGATTGGCACTGCAATATATTGGAAGCCTTAGGAGAAGGTAAGGACAGGATATTCCCAGGGGCACTAGCACTATTTGACATTATTTCCTGAAAATATGGCAGTCACTACAGTCAGATTCATAATTCAATAAACAACTTTGAATCGAAAAAATAAGCAATCAAAAGACCACATTGCAAAGGCACTGGTTATCCACTCGATTACGCTGGTTACCAAAATGATTCGTTTCGGTAACAAAATGTCGGAACATCAAAGCTACAATTTTTCTTTTTTCCTTATTTCACACCTTGTAGGCAGAATTCTCACGACATTTTTAACACACGCATGTATCCGTAACATACTCGTATGTTTAAGAATATGTACACATTTGTGAACAAATAGTTCAGAAGACAACAGAATCGTCTATTTAATTCCTCACTTAAGTTACAGAAACGGTATTTCGAAAAACAGTTAAGATCTGCACTTTTAACCCAAATCGTTTCTGTAACTTAAGTGAGGAATTAAATCGACGATTCTGTTGTCTTCTGAGCTATTTTTTCGCAAACATGTACATTTTCTAAAACATATGATACACGTTTATGAGAAAAAACGTCGTAGGGATTCTGCTTACAACGCGTGAAATAAGGAAAAAAAAATCGTACCTTCGACATTCCGACATTTTATGAACCGTTTCGGTAACCAGCGTTATCGAGCGGATCACCAGTGAAAGGTATAATACACTCCCAAAGAATTTACATAACATGCAGAACAAATTAATTTGTAGAATATAATAATTTTTTACTTTGTATTGTGCTAATGGCACATATATCTGTTAAATTAGTACCTCATTTTTAAGTCCCTCTCATCAAGGAAAGAAATAATAACATGACATGCAAGTTGGACTATAACATTGTTAGACACATCTTAATCTTTAAATTTTCTAAAATCCTCAGTATTAGTCAACCCATAGCATTATCCAGGCTATTTGAAAATATTCATTTCTCAGTTTGTCCTAAGTTTGCAACAATTTTGCACTCCATGGGCATAGCCAAGGGGGGGGGGTGCAATACTGCAATATGTGCGATTGCAATTTGAGGCTCTCTTTGCTGGGAGTGATGCAAAACAAAATTCACACCCCTTATTGATAATTGCTGGCTACATGCCTGCACTATGTTGGGAATACAGTAGTGCTTATGTCAGAAGTTCTAACTAAAACATTGTTGAATATGTGTGCTGATTTTTGAAAATTTTATACTTTTCAGCCAGCTTATCAAAATCTTCAACAGAAAGTGGAAAACTTTGTTACAAATTATTTGTCAAAACAAGAATGGCATCCAAGCTTAAACAAAAACCAACTCCGGGAAAACTTGAGGAAACAAATTTTAGAGTAAGTATACCCAAGGCCAACTCAAGATTATTGATTTTCAAATTTACTGCACTTAGAAAGAAGTGCAATATTTCTAATGAATGAATAGAGAGTGGAGCATTGAAGTTGAATTTTTTGTTCACTTTAATTTGAATTTATTGTTGGAATCAAAACCATACATGTAATTTAATTTGCCATGTTTTTTTTTTACTTGTTCCAGTTCTGGTATGCTTGTGTCTGGAGTTGACAGGATTATAGACCAGGTTATACAGCCAAAGATCTACACTGTTTTCAAGCCTCAAATTGACCAGGTACACCTCATGCCGAACTGCCAATTCACAACAATAATACAAAATACCTGTTCTTATTCATAAATTTTTTTTTCAATCAGCAAATGCACAAAATATGTGTCCTCAATTTTTCTGCATGTTATTTCTACTAAAGAAAATCTCTGAATGATAGATCAAAATTCTAAAACCATGAACGTCAGAACTTAACCTTTTCTCTTTGCTTTAAACAATTAAACAATTACATTTTACTGAAATTATAAATGAATCTTCCTTTCATCATACTGTATGTAAAATTGTTGATTAGAAATATTCCCCTGCAGGTGGTTTGTGAGTACTTGGGAATCGACCCAGAAGAGAGGAAGAAGAGGATCAACCAGCTGGAGCAGAAGAAGGCACAGAAAGCATTGAACCAAGAACTGAGAAAGCAGAGACATAGTGGTAATAATAACAAAACACACACACTCTGTACATGTACATTGTAGAATGAATTGTATAAAACATAGTAATAAAAAACTTCATATGTACAGCAGTGTACATATCAAATGTCCATATGACTGAATACATCGTACATGATGAACCACTCCATGGGTTTTTCTGCTTTCTGGTTGGCTGAGTTAATCATTTGATGATGGTGTAATTAATGTATGTATTTGAGATAAAGTTATAATAATTACAGATGATGCAGGAACAGAAAGTGAAGGGAATGCTCACTTTGATAGTAGTGATGGTGGCTTCAAAACCGATTCCCAAGAATATCCCCCGAGTCTCTTGACTATGGATCCCACCAAACCACCACCAGCCATACCAGGTTCCATGATGAACCAAATGAACATGCCCAATATGCAAATGGGAAATATGAATATGACCAATATGAATTTTCCTGGAATGGGTCCTCCTGGACCTTTCGGATTGCAGCAATATGGAAGTTTCAATCCCATGATACCCCAGACCCAGTTTTCCATGATGCCACCAAATATGGGCCAGTTTATGAACAATATGGGTAACATGGGTGGTTTCCCCCAAGGTAACTTCATGAGTATGGACCAAAGTATGGGTGGTATGGCATATCCCACGGGTATGATGCCTGATGCCCCTCTTCCAACTGAGGAAGCCCCTCCTCTACCCGAAGAAGAACCCCCCTCTCCTAAGGCAGATACAAAAAAGAAGAAAAAAGATAAATCTAAAAAGAAGGAGGAACCAGATAAATATGACATAACATATCTCCTTGATATCCCCTTACCAAAAGGGGATTCTCCATTAAAGAAACCAACAAAGAAAATCCCTGTCAAGTCTGACAAGGGGAGGGACACACCTGATAGTACAAAAGGCTCAAAGAAACATGGTGCAGACAATGAAGACATTTCAACTCCAAAAGATGGAGAAGAGGAGATCCAGACAGTGATAATCCAGTCAGAACTGGAGCAGACTGGTGAAAACCAGACTGAGGTTGTCCTTGAAGAAATCCCAATACCACTTGAGAAAAAATACCAATTTGATTGGCAAGATGAAAACTTTGACAATGTGAGTGATGTCACTGTAAGCAGTGTCCACACAAGTGATTTATCATCATTTGAGATGAGCTCCGATGATGATGATGATGACGTTAATGAAGATGCTGACTATGAAGGTGACCAGGAGAACACAGAGGGTGAAGAGAGGGATGGTACAGAGGATGAGTCTGCAGAGAGTGCAGAGGAGGGAGATACAACAATGGAATCTGAGACAACTGAAGCCCAAGTGGTACACCTTGATGAGGGTCAGCTAGAGACAGGTAAGTGGCCATCATTTAACACAATCAGAAATCATTGACTTCTTTCACTATTTTCTCTCAACAAAAATTAGACTTATTGATATTCATTGTGGATTTTGATTGATAATGGCATTTTTTGTTAAGTCGTCAATTATTGTTATTTTATGCGACATGTTTTATATTTTGATTCAATTACAGTTAAGAGTTGTATCATATCATTCTTCATTGTCTTTCTCCACGTTACCCCAAATGTGTCTGTTGTAGTTGAGATGGAGATAGCACCAAATGAGGTCGTCCAAGTAGCTGAGGTTGAGATCAAGCCAAGCAAACCACGCAGGCTGATATCCCTGACTTATAATCTAAGTGACTCAGAAGAGGCTGACGAAACCCGAGAGGAGCGCAAGGCTCGAATAGTTAGTAACTTTTACAGCTTCTGAGTGTGCAATAGTGATGTAGTACAGTAGTGAGCCCATAGTTGGTAGGGCCGAGACATGCTGTTGGCTACTTGACTGAAATTGCTTGAAATCCATTGTTTTATTTGGTTGAAATAAATTTTGTGATTTAACCTGCATGCGTGTCTGTAGTATAGTAGTAGTTAGTGACTTGCTTTAGTTAGATCTATCTGTAGCCACCTATATTTATACCTATACACTAACATCAATAAAGGAGCTATCGGTTTACTTTGCATCTAACATTCTTGACTTGACACAAAGGGAATAACATTCCCCCTTAGGAGAATGCAAGTTGTAATGGTACTCACCCCTGGTTTTACATTTGGATTATTACTTAACACACACAAACTGTTTGTGCTGCTATATTAGTACTTGTGATTTAAAATAAGAAATAGCATTTCAATTAACAACATGATACCTTTATGGTAAAAAAACTGTTATGTCACAAAAGTACTAAATGTAGCACAATGAGTATTGCATCAAAGGTAGCACCACAACAATTATAACACATCACATATCATATCACTGCATTGTAGACCAAATGTAGCACAACAATTATATCACACCACGTGTCATAGCACTACATTGCAGACCAAATTTAGCACAACAATTATAGCTCACCACGTATCATTGCACTACATTGCAGACCAATTGTAGCACAACAATTATAGCTCACCACTTATCATTGCACTAGATTGCAGACCAAATGTAGCACAACAATCATAGCACTACATTGCAGACCAAATGTAGCACAACAATCATAGCACACCACATATCCTAACACTACATTGCAGACCAAATGTAGCACAACAGTTATAGCTCACCATGTATCATTGCACCAAATTGCAGATCAAATGTAGCACAACAATTATAGCTCACAACATGTTATTGCACTACATTGCAGACCAAATGTAGCACAACAATCATAGCACACCACATATCATAGCACTACATTGCAGACCAAATGTAGCACAACAATTATAGCTCACCACGTATCATTGCACTACCTTGCAGATCAAATGTAGCACAACAATTATAGCTCACAACTTCTCATTGCACTATATTGCAGACCAAATGTAGCACAACAAGAGCATTGCTGTTTGAAGATTTGGCTCAATAGGCATAGTTGGGTTATCTTCTGGATATTGTCAGAATACCCAAAATATATTACCTTTCAATATCTTTAACAAATATATACTCAAAATGTCCAGTTGGGTAAATATTTCCATGTTGTTCCAAAACTTAAATTACATTTTCAGATTAACAGCCTCCCACCTCAGCAAATTCAATCAAACTATTGATTTTCCCAAATTTAAAGTACAAAATAACTGTTTTGAAAATTGATGTAGATGAACAAAATTTGTTTGCCTTTTACATTCTCCTTTCAAAGGTAATTAAATGCATCATTGGGTGTGCATAGATAGATATATTGACCCTGTTGCTTGCATTATAGCATTGATTGTATAGTTTAACATAGATAAACTCCCTTATAAGCCTGCCAAACCCAATGCTAAATACACAGAACATCTCATTCTTAATATGTTATCAACACCAGCTTGCCTTTCTGCAACCTTTTTATAGTACTCCCTCAGGACACCATACATACTCATATGTAATTAATCTAAAACAGTGTTGCTTTTTAACATTGGCAAAGATTGAGAGATGGTAGCATGTAACCATTTCTTGCAAATATCATAAATATGATTCATGAAATTAAATTATTTCAACAATGTTTCTATGGCTAAATAGTTAAAAATATCTACATACTGTATGTACATGAATTATTATTTTGATATTTAAAAAGAATATCACTGTTTATGATGATTTCATACTTTTTTCTAAAAATCTGAAATTTGAACATTTCTGTTCAATTGAGTGTGCTCTATACCTGTTTATTTCATTTTTATCTTATTCTACAATTAAACATGTATAAAATTTTAACAAAGAGTAAAATATAATCTTTTGTATCACTTTGGTATTAACACCCAATCAAAGAGGAGGAAAATATGATGAGTTTTGAAGAGAAGTTATTTTGAATTGTTAAGTGTAGTATTTTTTATGTTATTTCTTCAGACATACTAGTAACATTATTTTTCTTCTCAAAACTATAAATCAGATTTTCACTTCTCCTTCAAAAGGTGTTTCTTTCATGTGTAGTTCTCTTTACGTGTCACCAACAATTGCATGCTGAACAATCATGTGTATTATGATGTCCTGTCTTATGTGTTTCACACTAAATTTAAAGATGATCACTTTCATTATATGGTTGGCTGGTTAGAGGCCATTTAGTTACCCAGAAAACATGTACCCCTCCTTGATAGATCTTATTAAGGAGGGTGTGTGGCATGCAGAATTTAGTGCAAAACATTTGAGATTACATGTACTCCTAAGGGAAAAAGGATTAATATAAGTAAATGATGTCATAAAGGTGTCATTGCAACTCTTCTGCATTATTTCTGGTATGAAACATAATCTTGGCTCATATGCTTGCTTCTTCTCACAAATAGGTGATTTGATGAAAGACTACACAGTGCTTATAGTAGATATGCATTGAAAGTTGATAATGTAGACATGCTGTTTTCACCTTTGTATCATCCAGTACAAATAACGTTTTGGATTTTAAAAAATATTAAAGATAATGTAAGATTTTGGAATAAAGAGGATAATGCCAGAAAATCCATGAAAATCTATGTGGTTTACCAAAAAAAAAACTTTCATAAAAAATAATTTACTGATTAATAAACTAGAAATTTAGCAAGTGCTTAAATGTACACCTATATAGGCTAAAGAAAAAGAAGAGCGCTACTTACAAAGGCAACAACGACGAGCTGAAATCGAGGCTAAACAGCGGCAGAAAGATGAGGAAAGAAGACGTAAAGCTGAGGAAAGGCGAAAGCAAGAAGAAGCTGAAAAGAGAGAAGAATCATCCCAGGAAGAAAATGAAGAGGAACCAATGGAAGAAGAGTCTAAAGAAAAGGAAGAGGAAGGAAATGAGAACGTGGAAGATATTGCCAAAGCTGATGGTGCTGAAGAGATAAAAGGTAAGACATTTTGCATTATATACCAAACCTTTTGTGAGACTCAAAGACTAGCTTGTCCCACACTGTGTATGTCAAAGCAGAAAATATGAAGAGAGATACTAGAAAAATTTAGAAAAAGAACAACACAATATGATATTAAATATTTCAAGACTCATATACAGTATCACTTTTTTACAACTCACAAAAATCATTCAGTTCAAAAAATTATTGTCACCACACTCATGACCCAAAAGATGGAAAGTAAGTGTAATCTGGATATTTTACACATTATAACCAAATCAACTGATTATGATATGATTTTAACATGTAACATTGAACATGGCTGGCAAAATATTATCAAATTATTTAATACTGTTTGCAACCATTAAACCTTGTTGAAAATACAGCTTTGGGTCGTGAATGAAATATTTTTCCATTTTATATTTCAGTTGCAAGTCAAGAACTGAACACTGAAGACACACACACAGAAGAATCAGAATCTGCCAGTGAACAATCCCAAAGCCAAGGTGAACAATCCCAAAGCCAAGGTGAAGAATCTAACAGCCAAGGTGAACAATCTAACAGCCAAGGTGAACAATCAAATTCGGAGGAGCAATTACAAAAATCAGAAGAACAAATAGAAACTGCAGAAACACAAGTTGAAAATTCTGAAAAGCAAACAAGTAATCCTGAAGAACAATCAAAAACGCATCAAGAACAGTCTCTGAATTCAGATGAAATATTACAAAAAACAGATGAACAAAATGCAGAGTCAGCCATTTCTGTCAAACTTCCAAACTCTGATAATGAAGGTGAGAACAAACTTGAGGAGAGCCCAATAAAACAACCAACTAGCCCTAACAAACAACCAGGTAGCCCCATCAAGCAACCTGGAACTCCAACCAAACAGGCAAAGAGTCCTAGAAAGAAACCAGAGAGTCCAAGGAAAGCCCTGAAAGCAAAGCGAACAAAAGAAGCTCTCAAAGAGCAATTACGTGAACAAAAGGTTATGGAAAAGCGAATGGCCCTGCGGCGACAACGAACAAGGAACAAAAAATACTTGTCTGAAGATTTTGAATCTATTTATACTCAAAAGACTCCTTTGAATGACAGTTATACTGAAGTAATAGAAGCTGAAAATGTTCAAGAATCAGTGGAAATTTCCACTGCAGATAGTGCTGACACCTATGAAGAAGTGGATTACATGCAAGGGATACCAATGCCACTTGACACTAAATCACCTGCGACGCCTACTCAAGATGAACATTTTGCTTATGTTGAAGTCCCAGAGGGTGAGGTAGTTCTCATCGACCAATCAAATGTCCCAGTTATTGAAGTTCCCATGGCGACCGAGTCAGTTAGCATCCATAATACTAGGTCAAGGTCACGCCAACAAGGTGAGATGGGTCGACCTGACACCCCTCAAAGTGATGTATCGGAGCTGTCTAAGAGTGGATCTTGGTCTGGTTCAAGGGGAAGAAGGTTGAGTAGACCAAGCCTAGGAACCCCAGAGCAAAGGCCTAACACAGGAACACCTGAGGGAAGACCTCATAGTGGAGGGAGTGGAAGGTAAAATTCATAAATATTAGTGTCAACATTTATTGAAGCATGGAATTAACTTTATTTTTGCAGGGGGTTAAATCCAGTTTTGTTTTTGGTGTATTTTCATATAATTATCTGAATGGAGTAGATCAGGATGCCCTTGCAAAACTTTGTGCAGGATTACCCACAATTGTCATACTAAAACGTAAGAGATCCGCATGAGGTTAAATGAAGCCTCACATTTTTTCTACAATAATAATTCTAATACAGTACTCTAATAATGATATTTGTAGCTATATTATTATTATGATATTTTATACCAAATGTAGGCCTAGGACTCCTGATGGAGATCCAGCAGAAGGGAGACCCAAACGTCGTCCAACTCAGAGATATGACGTATCTGACCTGTATAAACCACGGACAAGTATGCGACGTCAGTCTCCAACTCAAAGTGTCAATAGTATTGCCAGCAGTAGATCCAGGTTAGACCAAATTGTGTTCTTTGTAAGAAGGTAGGGGGTCAGTAAATAGTTAACCCTCAATTGTTTTACTAATTTTTCTAATTAATGAGTAAGGATTCTAATGAATACTTTTGAATGGATTGTTAGTAGACTTTGTCTTTTTGGACTGTGTCAGTAGACTTTGTCCGTAGACCTTGTCAGTAGACTATGATTGGGGTTGGGAGTAGTAGACTTTGTGAGTCGACCTGTGTATGAACCTTATGATGAGTAAACTTTGTGAATGTGCTATTGTGTGTGGATTTTATGATAGGAGTTTATGAGAAGACTTTGTGAGTGAACCCTACAAGTAAACTTAATGCATTGACTCTTATGATGGGACTTAGATTGTAGGATAAGTTGGTAGGTTTGTAAATAGACTTTGTCGAACTCCCGTGCAGTGATATATCACTGCGGCGGGCAGGTATCTCACCGTAAGCATGGTAACATCGTAATAAACAACTGACGTGATTGGTTCTAGTCCCATGCTCAGGTCGCGTGATTGTAAAATTTAGACATTTTCATTGGTTGAATTGCGCGTATTAACTAATAAACAACACGTGCGGTAAACTTTTATCAACACAACTTTTACTCAGAATTCCTTCCGCGGGGATTTCCTCTTATATTTCATTGATTTTGGAATATTTTGACAAAATAATTATTGGTGAACATAAAAGAACATATATTTTATAAGTTGTGTGAAAAACAAGTACATCTGTGACAAAAAGGGGGACTATCTTCCCCAAATTTTGGGGATTTGCTTCATCTGCCCGCCGCAGTGTCTATACCGAGACACTGCATAGGAGTTCGAGACTTTGTTAGTGAGCTTTTGGGGTAGTAGACTTTGAAAGTAAACTTTATGAGGATACATTTATGAGTGAATGAGGGTACATGTATGAGTGAACTGTGTTGACAGGCTTTGTGAGTAGGAATTGTAGAATTTTGAGTGAATTTGTCTTGTTATACATTCCTTCAAACTTCATATGCTAGAATGATCAAGTTAACCACATAGTCTGTCAAGAACATGTTAAAATAATGTCACGTGTGAAATGACTTCATAAATATACATGTACAATCATATAATTTTTCTAGACGTACAGACTCCAGGCAGTCAAGGAGTAGAAGTCGTTCAAGGAGTGAATCCAGTAGTACGTCACGTAGCAGGTCACGCAGTAGGTCACGTCATAGGAGGTCACGCAAGAGATCAAGGTCCAGATCCAGGTACTTTACTTTAGTCAGTGATTACCATTGATAAAGTTGTGGACCATACATACAGATATTAGAAGTTACACAATGGTGTTATTTTAACATAGTAATGTGTCTTGTTGCATAGAATGTGTATAATATTCACAAAATATTTGTCAACTTCAGGTCATAAACGTATTTATATGTAATATTTTTTATAGGTCTTACAGCAGTTCTAGTAGTTATTCCCGATCCAGCAGATCATACAGTAGATCATATAGTAGATCATACTCGAGATCGAGATCTAGATCATACTCAAGATCAAGGTCACGATCACATAGCGCAAGATCAACTAGTAGGTCGCGTAGTGACCATTCAAGATCAAGATCTCAATCCCAAAGTGCAACATCAACATCTCAAAAGCACAGATCACACAGTCGATCTCGTTCTCGTAGCACGTCATCTAAAGAGTCAGGAGAGGCTGGGGATTCTTCACCAGAACCCGTAGAAGATAGAGAGGGCTCAAAATCCCCTAACAGACCTGTGAAACCTATTGATGAGATTGATTTTGGACAGGCTGCTAGGAATGCTGATGTTCGGGGAATCAACTTCAATCAGCGAGGACGAGGGATGGGACGTGGAAGGGGAGGTCCAACTTTAAAGCCGACACCTGAGTATATATTCTTTGGTGAAGCTGAGAGAAGGTACTAGTATGGTCAGAGTTTGTGATTTAAAAAGAAGTAACTTTTGTTAGTTTTGATACTTTTGAACATAATGGAGCTATTATCCTTTTGGACAATGAATATTAATGAAATAATATGCTGGTATAAGTGGTCAGAATATGATTTTTATGTCATCACCAGAAGTGGTGTCATATTGTTACAGTCTGTAAGTGTTTGGCAGTTGGTGTTCAGCAGTTTGCGTTTGGTGGTCACCATCAGTAACAAATGGCAGGTGGTGACATTTTGAATATTAATGGCTTGTTTTGTTATATTTTCAGAGCCCGATCTGGAGGTGGTGCCGATAGATTCGTAGCCCAGCGTGGCAGAGGGGTTTCAATGTCACCACTCCGTGGGAGGGGAGGCATGACCCCCAGGGGTAGAGGCTTACCCCCAAGAGGTATGGGAATGCGGGGGAGAGGGAGCTCTTCAAGGGGACCCCCAGGACCAGATATGTATGACTATGAGCCTTATGATGACTCACCCTACCATCCTAGGACCAGATCATCATATGACTCTGATAGTCCCCGTTACAGACCCCCCTCTCCTGGTGGCTCAGGGGGCAGGAGGTGGCAGGGTCCCCCTAGAGAGAGATCTCCACCTGGACCTTACCAATCCCCACACATGGGATCTCCTCCAAGAAAACTCAGAAGCTATAATCCCGAATACTCACCCCCAGGACCGCCTTCCCCTCCAAGCATGGGTCGACCAAGGAGACGTCCCCCTTCTCCACCAGGGGGCCCACCCTCACCCCCACGTGTTACAAGAAGGGTTAGGAGACCCATCACTCCACCCCCAGAGCCAGAGAGAATGATGACAAGAGGTAGACATAGTATAGATGATCCACCTGAACCTCCACCCCCTAAAAGACTGAGGAAAATCTGAATGCTGCACACAATATGAATGATATAGTACAATGTGAAGAATAACTATTGCTAATGTCAAGATTGAACAATGTACAATGTGGCTAATGACATTATTGCACAATGCCAATTGCCAATATATTGTTGGCTAATGTCATGAATGAACAATGTACAATAACAACGATGATTTGCTTATAAAATGCAATGAACTTGGTAATTTATTTTAAAATTAACCTGAACACTGATAATTTCCAAATTTCCTATTATCTGAAAATATTAGATTCTATGACATTAACAGTAAGAAAGATACCATGCTTAACCACATGTGCAATTTCCAATTTATCTGTACACATATCCATTGTGTTATGATTACCACTCTGTAATGAATTAATACATGTGATGGTTAATATTATGGTTTGAAACCATTATGAGAGGCATTTGGAATTTAGTGTCTCGTATTTATATCAAAATCATAAAATGTTTTTGTTATAAGAAATGTCATGTCTGACAACATATATTGATAATAGAGAAGGTGTGTTGAATCACATGTATTTTCATCCTGGTCACTAATTATCGTATAGCGTGGTTTGTTATTATCACTTATGTATAAATAGGACTATATGTTTAGCATGACTAAGTGTGGCTTTGAAGTGGTAACACTTCAATATAAAGCTACCCTTTGCATTTGTTCGACTTCACTTCCTAAAAGAGAGCTTCGTCTTCACTCTTTCAGTTTACAATAAATATCTGATCTCATCGAGCCAATCAGAGTTCGTTGTCGAAATGTGGACGACTTTCTATATGGTCATTTCCTCTGCCATCACCGCATAGTTAATGAGCGCATGTTTAGCACACATTCCTAACTCTTCGGTGATTGGTTGAGAGAGGGGCAGTGTGGTAGATTTGAAATGATTGATTACCCAGGCTGTCACAGGCACCAATCTTTGGGGCGGGGCTGCTAAACTGTTTTATAGTCTATACTAGGCAGAGGATAGTTTATAACCAGACTCTGCGCACAGGGTAAAATAAAGCCTGCTTGCTTCAAAGGATTATATTTAGAATTCTAAATGTTTTATAACCATTACTACCCGTTCCTTGTGTTCAGGGGTTATAGTATTGACATACTATTCACATTTTCATAATAGTGACATTCTTTTCACATCTTCTCCACTGAATCATCACACTGGTAATTTAACATATGATTGTGATCAACATTGATGCCAGAACAGTTTATATGCCATATTAGGATGTCATATTGGAAAGCTCCCATGATGGTATTACTGTACTTCTACTTAATTCGGCAGATTTGCTGTTTTGAACATTTGGCGGCTTCTTAATTTGGCGGACTTGCAATATTGAAATGTATATACTTTACATATTTATAATTGAAATTTGAAATATTGAATTTGACGGCTACTTAATTTGGTGGATTTTAACTCATTAGTGGATCCACCAAATTAAATTGGCCGCCAAATTAAGTAGAAGTACAGTATTGATCAGTGGCAAACATATCTTGATCAGATCATTTATACTCTGAATATTCAATGAGTTGATCTTCGATGGGGATCTACGTTTCCTATTTTCAGTAATTGCAATGTCAGTCAGAGTGTCCTAGGAATGAAATGATAATATAAAACATGAAGAACAAATGTTTGTATATAAATAGTTGTGTATACATTTATTTACAAGACAAGGGTACTCTAATGTTGGAGTACTATATTAATAATAAACATGTATAACAATTTTTCTACAAAACTAAGAGTATTTGTTTTGTTTGTTATGCACCAAATTCATATTTATGTATGAATGTACAAAGGAGATCAAAACTCTTCCATTCATGAAAATCAATATTTAATACTTCGGGTCATTCAGAGCATGATGAGCCAAAAATATAATATATACCAAAAAATGATAAAATAAAATGAAAATATGTACTGATTTACCACCAGGTGCCTAATTATTCAGGTAAGATAACATGGCAGACTATGGCAGAAAAAGGAAAAAATTCTCCTAAACTTGAATTTTCAATAATTTTAGAGAATCAATTATCATTTAACCTTTTTGAGTTTGATAATTATACAATTGTAAATATGTCCAGCAAAAGAAAATATCTGCCCAATATATATTTCACTTTTCATGATTGTATAATATAGTCTATACATGGACTCTACCAAATCTAGAAGTCACATTTTCAAACAAAATAAGAATTTTAAAGTTGATAAACAATTTTAAAACCACATTTCTAGATGTAATTTTACATGTAAATTTCAAATATGATATCACTTCAACTAAATTTTGAATATTTGATGACCCAACAACAAATTTAAAATCTGTTATGCATTGGTAAAAAACATGCATGTGGTATCATTCCTTTATGTGGAACCAGTACAAGTGATATTTGATGTGATACTAAATATGCAGAATGAGCCATTTGTATTTTGATGATTTTTGTCTCAAATTTAATCATTCAAATTCTTCTAGATCGTTCTAAAACTATTTTTGTTTACAAGCACAAGACAAAATACAATGTGACTGTTTTGGCAAATGAAATGGTTTTCGTTCAACATCAGCAAAGTTTCTTCAAATGAACTGTTCGTTTCATAGGAAACTTGGTGAAGTAGTGATAGAATGCATTTAAACGACAGATTAACATAAAATAGAGCATGTACTAAAATAATGACAAAAAATTAATACTATGTACATGCAGATGTTACATTTTATACGACCAAGATAATTTCAACAGTAACTGTGCAGTACTATACAGTGTAAATCTCATAATATCTAAGAATATTCTAGAATACTAATGACAACTACTTCTGCTTCAAAATATTTAAGTAGTAACATTTTTTGTATATCAGTTTCCCTTCCAAAATGATGGAGGGGAAGAAGCAAGATGGAATAAAGGTTGTGCTAGAACACGAGGATTGACTCCCAGAGTGCAACATCAATATTCTTGCCATACATGGCATTATGACCTTGACCTTATTATCAAAAAGTCATGTCATGATGGTCTTTATATTACCAAACAAAAAATTCAAAACACACAAGAAGTGATCAAGTTATTAGTTCAAATCATTTTGATCGCTGATTATGAATTTATAGTCATTTATAATATCAGAAAATAATGACATTTGGGAGCCAATCTTCCTTGGCTAGAACATGGCCCGACAAATACGCAAATATAAACAGAATATTTTCGCTATTATGTAAACTGATCTCAGTTATCTTGTAATCTGATTGGTTTTTCAAATGCTTCCTATTAAATTGCACAAAATATTTTATGAATATAGATTCTAGATTCTACTTTCACCCACTTATACTTCTCATCTGCTACAGAGCTCTTCAAACTGAAAGTACCAGGATGCACAGCATAAAAGCATTGTGACTAATATTTTGACTGTATAAGGAAAAGCATTCACTCTACCAATTTTACAACTAAAAAACAGGCCTGCCTAATCTGATCTATGTTTCAATGTTCCTATGTATGCACTTGAACTGATATGTATATTGACATATTGAGTATTACTTCCTGACTGAATCAATTTGTGAATCAACAAATATGAACATGTCATGTGTTGCATTTTTTGTGTATTGTGGCACCATTGGTTAAATTGCTTGTGTACTATGTCTATTGTTTACACAGTGATCAATATCAGTCCTCTCTTTGACTTCTCATGATGTCTTAAAACATTTCTACATGTTGAGAATTCACTACTTAGCAGTGAGCCTCTGTGAAATCTGTGAAAAACATTTGAGGTCATTCGAAATTGTGAGGCCCACTTGGCCTTGGAAAATTTGTGATCCCTTCAGTGTTTTGTGGATTTAACTCATTCTACTGTACTGCCATCTATTCAAGCACCATTAAAGGCCCTTTAGGGGACATACATGGGCAGCTGTAAATCCCAAACTGTGGTGTTATGATAGGAACTTCCTAACTGTGGAGTCATATATGTATCTGTCTGCATGTCACACTTCATCTGGAACTATTGTTATTGCAAAGTGTTTGTGTGGCCATTTGTAAGTTTTGGGCAGCTGTATCTGTAAAAACAAGTGAATCAGACATTTAAGTTCGCAGTATTTTAAGAATGAACAAATAAATTAAAAAAAAAAAATACTTCATGTAAACCATTGACTCCCTTTCAACAAATTGTAACAAGTGGTTAAGAGAAAGCAATGGCTATTTTACAAAGTGATGAACTTCACTAGGAATTCTCCATATGATTTGGTAGAGTCATCAATCAAGATAAGCGAGACTTGAATGAAGATGAAAAACACCACTGAGAACTCTATAACATTGAGTGTTAAGAAATCTCCATACCTCGTCTGGGTAGCTTAATTCTGCAAGGTCCCTGGATAATAGCTCAATAAAGTCATCTGTGAACAAAACCTGCAAAAACAAGGATATATCTGCTATGATGCTTGCACACAAACATTTACAATTGGGTACAGAATGTTTTACTGTCCAAATATTACATTTCTAAACAATTGTTTGACACAAGAAATAATCTCAAATAAGATGAACCCTAAGCTGTTAAAGAGATGCTCAGGTGACATTTTTGAGGCAAATTTTCAATCAAGTTCTTCTACCCATCCCAGGTTCATATAACATTAACATTACATTTATACAACATGTGTATGGCCTGTACCAAGTAACAAAGGACTATGTACCTGTAGCCAAGGCCCATGTGCCCCAAATGGATGCTGCTCCTCTACAATAGCTCCTATGACACATGTTGACACAAATGTCACTGCTACATCATTTAGTACACTTTTTATTGTAAAATGCCGCCCATGTTTTAATCGACCCCTGGAATTAAAAGATACTACAAGATGCACAAGAAACATCAACTTTTAAAAACCTATGTAAAACCTTAACTCTGATAGCTTATAAGTGTGTTCTCGTAAAGTGAAGAAAGATCTCCTCAACTTAATTGTTCATCAAATAAAAGGTCACCTTAATTATTTATTAAAGGATTTAAGCCATAGACTCAATGCATTGTGTGCTGAATCATTCCTCTAAGATGTTGTTTTGAAATCTTTGCATGACCATGCAGCAGGAATGCAAAGTTTATAGAAAATAATGCCAGCGTGGAATGAATCAGCAACAATGCAATGAGTCTTGGGCTTTAATTCTTTTCACACTGCAAAATATTTTCTTCGAAATCACCAAAAGATACAAAATCACTACAAGGACATATTTTCAATGAAACTTTTTTCAGGGTCAAGTTAGCAAAGTATCAATCCAATCTGTTGAGACAAGTTGTCATCTTAACAACCATTTAAAAAGTGACCTTGGGTTGTTTGTTTGTTATATAATGCAGTGACGTTAAATGAAATACTATGTTTGGATTGGCTGAAAATGAACACACCTTGCCTAGCTATGTGTGAGTAAAACATACCTTAATTGTTTATTAAAAGGTCACCTTAACTGTCCAGGACATTTTGTATTCAAATATTTCTTTAACTATAATCATACATACCTGAGGGCAAGGGGTAAGAGAGATCCAGCCTCCATGTTGAATGTTAAATGTACACTATCTAAAGTCCTGGTCCGCATCAATTCTGTGGGTGCCTCACTGCTCACACAACTGTCAAATGATTCTTTCCGAGAACCATTAGGGTTGCTGCAATGTAAGAGAAATATAAGTATACACTAACTAAAGTCCTGGTTTGTAGTAACTATCTTTATTTAGTTACTGTTCATTTTATTCATGTTAGCTGGAAGAAAATAATTTTTCTCTGAAGGATCTATTGATATGTTGAGTTTACTTATATATTAGTAAGTTCTTAATATAATTACTATTATTATTCTAATTAAACGTTTAGCAAGTTTGAATCCTCCCTAAGTGTTCCCTGTGTATGCACAAGTGTCAAACAGGGAAAGGACCAAAAATTGTTACAGAACACAGCAAGACAATGAAAACATCTAAGAGTATAAGGAAAACCAACCCAGACTATCCAAAACCATGATCTAACATGAAAAGAAACCATGTCTCCATAATCACAATCCGACACTACAGACCAAGGGACATTTCATTCATAATAAAGTCATATTTTATACATAAAATTGATAGCCAATACTCATAACCTCAAAAATAGTTGTAGATACTAGCATTCATACAAGATAGAGCATTCAGTCTCAAATGATGTGTGATGATGATGATGATGATGATATAGGCTTTTATTAAGATACATCGTACAATTATTCCTGTGGTGACTGTTAAATGGATAATATATTTTGATACACAAAATACAGTTCAAAAACATGGCTAAGTGGCTTATTGGCTGTTAATTCAAAACATGTGTCTTGGTGCTGTTCTAGGGGCTAATCATAAGATAAGAATGGTATGGAATATGGTCTCACAAGAAAACCGATAAAGAACTAGAAAAACAGCAACTCCACGGAGTAGCAAATCCCACCGAACAAAACATGTTTTGGTGAATAGTGGCCATATAAAATTTGAGCCAAATTCATCCACTGGTATTTGAATTATCAAAGATTGTGTTTTTATGAAACATGGTTGCCATTTTGAAATTCAGCTGTCATCTTTAGATTTTTCCTTTAGCAAAGCTCCTATGTCCAAAGGCATCAGCATATACATTTAATCCAAATCCGTCAACTGGTACTTTTATCAAAGGTTACATTCTTTTATGAAAAATGGCGGCCAATTTGAAATTTAACTGCCAACTTGAAAATCCCTTATCGAACAGAGCTCCAATGTCCCTAGGCATCAGCATGTAAAATTTGAACCAAATCCAGATAACGTTTTTTTTACGAAAAATGGCCGCCATTTTGAAATATGGTGGCCATCTTGAAAATGTCTTCTTGAGCAAGGCTCCTTTGTACCCAGGCAACAGCATATAAAATTTGATCCAAATCCATTCTATGGTACCTTGAGTTATCAAAGATAACATTTTTTTACAAAAAATGGCCGCCATTTTGAAATATGGTGGCCATCTTGAAAATGTCTTCTTCAGCAAGGCTCCTTTGTACCTGGGCAACAGCATATAAAATTTGAACCAAATCCATCCACTAGTATTTGAGTAATCAAAGATTATATTTTTTACGAAAAATGGCCGCCATTTTGAATTTAGTGGCCATATTGAAAATTCCTTCTTTCTTTGAAACATAGTGTGTAAAACAACATGTGTAAAAGTCAGTCCACCTCGGTGGGAATTGAACCCACAACCTACCGATTAGATCTCGGATGCTCTACCACTTGAGCTACGGAGCCGACTGGCTTTTAAACATCAACACTGCATATATGGCTTCTCTGCCATGACTTACATGCCCAGTTCCCTGGACCCTCATAAGGTTCACCTGTCTTTCCAGGTTGCCAATCACACTATTCATGATGTCACATGGTCTTTCCCATGCGCCATTCCCGGCCGACTAGGAATTTTTTATTAGTTTCTTTGAAACATAGGATAATTTCCTATGCTAAGGGCTGATAAGGGCCATCTTGAAAATGTCTTCTTCAGCAAGGCTCCTTTGTACCTGGGCAACAGCATATAAAATTTGAACCAAATCCATCCACTAGTATTTGAGTAATCAAAGATTATATTTTTTACGAACAAGTGCGTGATACAGGGGTTGCCATTTTAGTAAAGGGTGTAAATACGTTTCTGTGCTTGATACAGGGTATATTTAATGGAAAAGGTTAAATTATGATGTTGAATTATTGGTGTCTATCATATATTTAAGAACTGACATCTATATATGAATATAAAGTTTAAATAACTAACGTGAACAAAAGATTAATGAGATTCTGATTGTTTTGTTCTGAGAATGCTGCTGCCATCTTTGAATAAACTCTAAATTATCAATGATATAATTATAATCTATTGTGATAACGAACACCTCCCAATCTGAATGTTTTTAACTGCACGGTGGCATTTGGATTAGACAGGTTTTACTGTATGAGTAATAGTAATACTGAAATTAAAAAAAATCTGAAGGCCTAGTCAATCTATTTTGGGAAATATTCTCAGCTATTTGAAATGAAGATCAACTTTGTAAGAAGTCTCTATAATTATTTTTTTAATTTATACAATAACATTATACTCAACTTTAGTTCAAATTCCAATGCTCTGGCCTTGGCTAATCAAAACAGTTCATTGCAATTGTTTCATCAATTATTATATTATTATATTAATATATCATAATTATTTCACATGCAAATACTGTACTGCCACTAATATTTGATGCTGTTATCTTTCACAATTTTGCAATTTTGAAATTTTGCGGATATCAATTTTCGCTAATTATAAATTTTTTATAATTTTGTATCTATTTCTTTCACCATCATATCATTTCTCAAAAAAATTTCCAGCTTATTTGATTAAATGTTTTTAAAACCACGAAATATGAATGAAACAGTACCTTCTTACCTTTAATTATTGCTATACCATGTACTAAAAGCCTTTACATGACACCTATCAGCTATCACCTGCTTCAAAAGCATAGGTGAAACTAAACTATTGAAATCAAGTGCTCACTTTAATTTTTTTTTATATTTTCTGTTTAGGAAAATCTGTTAGTTATCAGCTGCATTTTTGTCAGTCAAGATTTATCTTCATCAAACCAAATCAAATCCAAGGAATGTTTAGTCAAATATCCAGTTGTTCAGGAATCGAACTCAATTCAAAGAATGATTAGTTCCATAGTGTAAACATATACAACTTTGAACAATATTGGTATCAGCCATTATGTTACATTAAAAAAAAACAGAATGTAAAACTGTAAAAGACTTTCATGTAAGCAGGAAATTTCTTGAAAGAATACTAAAGGTTTCGCAACAGAATTTAGACGGTCATATGTTGAATTGCAGAAATTTTCTGAAAATGTAAGGTGTGTATGTTAGGCCAATGCATTATCTTAAGGAAAAGTACTCATACAGATGATAAAAAAAATTGGAGATTGAGACAGGGAAGGTACAAAGACCCCATCAACATTTTTTTTCAAAAATGTTTTCCTGATTTTCAGTTCCTTCCATTTTTTTATAATGTTTTCACATTAATATGTTGCATTTGTAGACAAAGTTAACATACTAAAGAGAAAATATTTTCCTTTTAAGAGTTTATTTGTGTCTCCAAATGCAACATACTGATGCATAAAACATTTATAAAAATTGAGTAGAAGGGGAAATTTTCAATTCAACAAACATATAGGCCCACTGAGCATTTATTTTGCACAGGGCCTTTATTAGAAAGAACTCAAAATAAATGCCATTGGCTTTTATTAAGACTAAGAGGGAAATTGAAAACATTTTTCCAAGGGGACAGGCATTTATTAAGAGGGAAAATAGCTTTCCCAAGCCAGTGGGTGTTTATTTCGAGGCGTATTATCAATCGAAGAGTTGACACATGGCCTTCATATACTCATGCAATAGTATCTATCATCTCTGATTGCACACTTCTGTTTTACCTTTCAAGCATTCGATTTGGATTTTGGAATGTCATAAAGCTATGCGGTCAAAAGTAATCTTAATACTTTTTAGTGAAAATGCATTTATATTTTTAAAATGCAGAATTTTGCGAATGCAAAATCCTCGAAATCCGATCACCTCCACATCTGAAAGTTTTTTTTAACTGGTCATGGTGTTTTAACTGGTCATGGTGGCATTTGGATTAGACAGATATTACTGTATAAGTATTAGACAGATATTACTGTATAAGTATAATAGTATTACTGGAATTCCAAAAAATCATAACGCCTACAATGCTAGTAATATTAAGTGAAAATGCATTAATATTTTTTCAAAATCAAGAATCTTTCGGATGCAAAAACCTCGAAATCAGACGTTTAAATCTGAATGTTTTTAATTTGTAGCGGTGGCATTTGGATAAGACAGGTTTTACTGTATAAGTATAATAGACATTAATAGTATTACTGGAATTCCAAAAAATCATAAGGCCTATAGCAACAATCATGTGAACTTCAGGTCAAAATTCCAATGCTCCCTTGGCCAATCAAATCAGTTCATTGCATTTGTTTCATCAATGCTCTCAATATCATAATTATTCCACATGCAAATACTGTACTACCGGTTAATTTGCGAGTTTAAATTTCATGAATTTTGAGAAATACCAATTTTGCGGCCATTAAATTTTGCGGATATCAAAGGTTTAACTTCCATTATTCTCTGAATCCTCAAAATTAATTTATCTTATCTACAGTAATTACACCTACCCAATATCATATACTTTGGATAAGATTTACAATCTCTAGATCTTAGTCAATGGCATGTTGCACCTCAGCCTTTAATTGGCGATATTCGCGACTATTAATTTTCGTGATTTTTACACAATCGCGAAAAGCACGAAACTAAATTGCACGCGAAAAATATCGGGAGTACAGTACATTGAAACCATACACTCTTATATTTCATAAGAATTTGCAATCAAGCCTAACAAATCTATTGGCAAAATATTAGAAGGCCAGCAAATGTACACATGCTAAAGTGATGAAACTTTAATGAATTTTAATTTTGCCTATACTGAGATGTGTTAAACTCTATTTGGGTTAGATTTATTCGGCTACACCCTCTACTTACAGCCTTAACATGCCCCCTATCGGCTATCACCCGCTTCAAAATCATAACAGGTTCCTTTATATCTTCCTTTATCTTCTGTTTAAGAAAAGCTGTTAGCTATCAGCTGTATTTTTGTCAATCAAGATTTCTCTTCATCTGTGAATTACCCAGCGAGAAACCAAAATGGCAATTTTGATGGAAAGACACAAAGTACCAGTCAAAATCTCTGAAGATTTCCGGGCAAACAATGGCAGCTCTCCCAGTTAGGTTTTAGACTGTCTTCTCATATTTTGTCAATTCTATTCAATTTCAAGTATTGTTTAGAGTTGTGCGTTCAACATATTCGAGAAGTCAATAGCTATAATAAATCTGCAGATTTTGCTCGCATTTATGTAAGCTTTTCTCTTTTGACGGATACTTTGTGTCTTTCCTTGAAATCATGACAGGTGTAACTGATCTACTGAAATCAACTTCAAGTGCTTACTACTATCTCCCAATGTGAGCTACATCAGTGCTTTTTGTTGAGAAAATATGTAAGTTATTAGCCGCTTTTTTGCCGATCAGGATTTAAATTCTCTTTATCTGTCATGTACCTAGCAAGATTCAGAGATTTTGACTTGTACGTCATGTCTTTCCGTCAAAACTTCCATTTTTGGTTTCTTGGTAAAGAGTAGCTTCTCAATATATAATGAGAATTTGCTGTTCGGCACAGAAGCACCTTTTAATTTTTTTCGATTTTCGCAAGGAGGACACTAACACAATTTTGAAGCGGTTGATAGGGGGCTCTAAAGGCTGTTCTAACATATCAGTCACAGCCTCTGAAAGAGCTAGATCTAAGGCTCTAGCTTTAGGCTAGTCTAAGTCCTATAGATCTAGTAGTCTAGGCCTAGAGTCATAGCCCAGGCATAGGCCCGTAAAAATGTAAAGAAATAAAGCTTACAGCATGTTCTATTTAAGTGAATTTGACTCATGTTATACATGTTCCGGGCCTATGCCTAGTATAGTCCCGCACAGGACGAAGAAGATAGAATGTAAAAATCAAATTGAAAATCAAAATAATCGAACGAAAAAAAATTGAAAAAGTTGAAAATTCGATTTCAATTCAATTTGATTTTCTGCCATTATAAATGAAATACTGTACTTACCAACATGTTTCTCGGATACATATGTTGTTCTTACTTTATCTTCGCCGAAGATCGATGTTTATTTATATATAACAATCGAATAATCGACATAATTCAAACTCATCACTACGACACAAAAATATATCACTTTCGAAACCATGTAAACTGCTAAGATGACGTCATTTATATCCGGGATTGCTTTGCAAACTCCACACAACAGACTGTCCCATCTTTTCTCCTGCTTTCTCCCGATGCAATTCATACATTACTCGGAGATTACTGTCAAACGTTCCAAGTTTTACAATTTTAGCATGTTTATTACGATCTAATTCCTGCCAGTATCAATGAATAAATCTATTGACCAACAGATTGGAAATATGTATTCCAGCGATACCCTCATTTTGACGAAAGAATGGTACAAATATGTCCACTATTTATCGAGATATCGTGTAGAAAAATTGAAGAAAGACATCGCTTAAGAAATTTCTATTTCTAGACTGAACTGTTCACGCTCGCAAGTGGCATCTCCAACTCCATATATGGGCAAAAAGGTGGAGTTAACAATAAGCAATGCAGGGATTGACACGATTGACACGAAGAAGTCTCGATGAATCTCGCTTAAACTCCGCCCCTTCTTCGTGAAAAATCACGTGAATTCCGGCTTTTGCTGGGACATATCCGGGCATCTCGGCTTCGAACCCAATCAGAAGTTTCAATTTTGACTGGCGCCGCATACATTATCTCAAGTCTCACCCAATATTTTTATGTATACGTTAAAAATGGCCGCCATTTTGAATTTAGTGGCCATATTGAAAATTCCTTCTTGAGCAGAGGTCCTACACCCATAAGGCATAAGCCTATAAAATTTGAATGAAATCCGTCAACCGGTATTTGAGTTATTGCCCGGACACACGAACGGACGGACGGATGAACAGACGGACGGCTTTTCTTTATCCTCCTCGAACTTCGTTCGGTGGGATAATTAGACTCACTGTTCACAGTCAGGGTTGGTCCCAAGCTTTTGTTCACTCTCTCTACTGTGTGATAGACCCATTGTTAGTGCCTCCTTGATTTGTTGAGACTCTGCAAGTAAAAGTAAGCTAAGGTATATTTAATGGTACTTTTGCAATAACATAGTTATATATTGCTCTAAATTTTCTCAACCTTAATTATTCTGTTTTTTAATGAATAATTCATAATCAGTTTCTCGAATAACAAACTATTTATGATTTTTTTCAACAAAAACACATTCATAGATACAAACATACATTGTTTTTCATTAGGCTTTATTAATAATTTCGTAGCAGAAGGGGAAGTAGGAGGGTTTAATATAAATATACGCCTTGTTTTTCATTAGGCTTGTTAATAATATCCTTGCAGGAGGGGAAGTAGGAGGATTCAATATAAAGGTATATAAATATGTGCTTTGTTTTTCATTTTCAAACTTCAGAGGGCTGGGAATCATTATTACAGTCGCTTTTGAATAATATTAATGCTGTTTTGGTTTAGATCGCAAGCCAATGAGGTGTGTATTAATGATTAACTTTCCTGTTATCTCAAAATCTGCTTGGAATTATACCATTGGATTACTATGGGAAATTCCTCAAAGAGAAAATTCTTGGGATTAAGGAAGGGTACCATTTACACAATTTGAGAAATTGTTGGCAAACATGAAACCCATTTAGCAAAATTCCCTGACTTTTTCATTCGGGTTTTCCTGACTTTTCTCCTGATTGTAGCAACCCTGAACATAAACAGACCTCCAGCAAAATGCTTGCTTTCGAAACATATACATATAATATTACATTGGATCACAATATTGGTGTTACACATGTAGAAGCCACCATTGATCTAGAAGAGAGACACTTACCAAGTTGTGACAGATGTGGCCTCTGGTCTAACTCATTACTAAACCTCCTATCCCCATCCACTAGAGAGCTCGCTTTGTCATCATCACTGCTTGGACGTCTAATTGAATCATTCGGTTCCTCCCAATTAACCTTACTGCTTATGCCACTGAGATTCGAGCCCTCCATTTCTATACCTTGGTCCACCTTCTCTTGGATCTGAGGGTCAAGTTCAAATATAGATTCACCTCTACGCATGTCTGAGATAAGCCAGCTACCTCCAGCCCTGAAGTGCAAAAACATGTACATATTGATTTATCATTCTGTATATGAGTGTAGTCAAGATGTAAAATTAGGAGAGACAAGGGAGGTATATTACTACCTACTTTATTTCCAAAGTTTTAGTTTGGAAATTGAAAACTTCTCAAAAATATACTTCTTTGAATTTCAAATGTTGGTAAGTCAGGTGCACTGCCTGCCTCATGGTGGCTATGCCCATGGTGCAAAGGTTGAACAAAACTGTAAAATCCAAAAAACATGAAAAAGCTGTGATATTGTCCAAAGACAGAACCTTAAAATTGAGAGCACAAGAGCACAAGATATATTTTGTGCTTCTATATTTAAATGATCAATTTTATTCAATATTAGATTTTTCAGAAATTAGTGTGGTCAAGAGTGAACATGTTAGTGCCCCCACTGTCCATCCCTTATAGTACTTACATTGGTACTGTTTTTAACAACTCCAGGACTCCAGTGCCATTCCAGTGCTGTGCAGCCTTCAGTTCTTCTGCACATACACCAACGATCTGTGAGGAATATCAGAGCTAAGCATTACTAACTCATCTAATACCCAAAAATATCTGATACCAAAAAGAATATCATTTTTACAAGTCAAAACTTCAACAAAAAGAGGGGAATTCTCTTGTAATTGTACATGTATAATTACTCAAAGTTATTGAAGTGCACGAAGAAAGGAAGGGGCTTATGAAACCACTGAGATTCTAAACCATTATGAGCCAAATTTTGTTGTTGTTACCTACTTTTTGTACATGAAATTCCATATTAAAATAAATTGTCCATCATGATCAAAGGATGTTAAATTCGCACATTTCTTACTTGTACAAAGTTAACTTTTCCAAATGGTGTAGTAAAGCCTAGAAGTTGTGGGTCTTCAGTCATTAACATGTGTTGTACTCTGGACTCACTGCCATCCAAAGGACTGTGCCATGGTATGTGGTCACCGGGACACAATGTGTTTTCTGAAGAATGAAATTCATTTCATTCTAATATAATATGTGGTGCCATGATAACTAGAACAATTGATTTATTTGTCTTAATAATAGTATCAGTGTATGTAATGACTACCAAATTTCACTTTTGACCAAAAAATGAAAAGCAGTGATTAGTATACTCTATTCTGTTTATCATATTCGAAAAGATATAAAGCCCTCAATTCTCTGATTTCAAACAGATATGTGACTTATATTTTATTCTACATACTGCCAAAGGTTTCAATTACTTGAAGTTAAAAATATATTAATATTTTTTCTAGTTCTACCTTAATATGACATAAACACTCACAGATTAATCACAATCTTTTGGACCATTGTATTTATACAAGAAATTTTCTAACAAACTAGTCAAGTAAAGTCAAGACAAATGGCCTTAAAGTGGGAATATCGATTGCCGAGTCGTATCCAATGATCCTGGGCCTATCGTAAAATGAAAGCTTTGAATATGTTGTTGCCTTTAAAAATGTATCTATTTTCCATGTATGCAACTAGAATTTGTGCACATACCTTATAACGATCGATAATGGCAAAGGAAAATCCTCTAATTCTTCGTCATAATTTCTCCTTCGACGTCCGCCATTTTTATTAAACCGGAAGTTTGTTCTCTGACGTCGGCGCAATGTTTTTTCACTTTTATTTCAGATTACGCTTCGGATTCAACATTTAATGCTTTCTAATATTAATTAAGTGTTTTCTATCAGAAAGATTTCATAAAAAGACTCACACTATCAGAGATTTTATCGATTCGAGCAGCCAGAAAAATTAGTTTCAATTTCACCCGCTAGGTGTTTCGACGTCGACTTGGAAAGAATTTGAAAAATCTATGAGTGGGACTCCTTGTATGGAATTGTAGATTCTAAACGATTTGCCAGTTCTACTGGTAGATGAATATTGCCATATGCATACATTTTTATAAAATAGGAATAAGGAAGAAGATGTTGGACCAAACTTCAACCCGATAGCTCAGAAAAGGTAAAATTTCTCCATTTTTCTCTCCACAGACCTTAGAGCCGCTTTAATATACAAATACTTGGAAGAACTGTATCGTTTTTATCAATAATATACTCTTACATTATCTTTCCTTTGAAGACATACCTGATTTGAATACATATCTGGCAAGACACTGCATAAGTGCAGCAGGCCAGGTAGGGGGTGCTGTCTCGTCATTATCTCGCTTTAAACGCATGGTCAACTCAAATCCCCATCCACTTGGTGTATCAGGTCCTATATTCTGACAGCTGAAAATGTTGTGAGTTTCACTTTATTAGCATGGTTGACAATTGACCAAGGGTTATATTAGTGAGTAGCATGTAAATAGGCAAGTAAGCTCACATAACGTGGACATTGTTAGTGGTAAAACCAGACTTATTCTTTACTCAATGGTATTGTTCCAAGGATTGAACTAATATATTGAAAAAATCAGTACAGTAGTGTCTCTTGATGTTGTCTCACATGACTGCATCAAGTGTGTGGGAATAATATACACAAACCCTTGTGTCACCCACTCATTGTACGTATATGTATATTGTATGTGTTTTGTGAAATAAACAAATTGAAATTGAAGTATTCACTCAAATATCTTTTTTGAAAATACAAAATTTCAAAAAGAAAATATGTAAATCCAATTTTCAATGAAATAATAAATTTTCATATTAAAATAACATGTAAAAAACTAAAATGGTTATAATTGTGTCTGATATCCTGAAGAATTCACATCTCTTTCAGCAATCATAATGAATGTTATTTGCTTTATAATAATAGCAAATAAACGTACAAACCCAGGGGGGATTTTGAGTCATATTTCAACCACTTAGCAGCATTTAGCACCTTATAATATGTAATTTCTATAATTCATTGAGACGTATACTGATCATAACAATTATTATCCTGGACAAATAATAACAAGACATTAAACCAATTTCTGGGAATTATAAGAATTTGTTACAGACGCCAAACACTGTCCACATAAAGTTGGCGACTATGTTACCACTTCTGGTGGTGACATAAAAACAACCAGAACAACGGCAACGCCAAAGCGTAGCGAATCCCATCAAACAGAAATGACTGGCATTTTTACAAACGAATAGCAAATATCATAAAACAACACACCAGAAAGGCCACCATTTTCAAAATGGTTGCTCACTAGCCAAGTTGTCATCAGAAGAAATAATATGCTTTTTAGTAGCCACCTCTAAAATTTTTGAAAAATCGCACACGTACTTGTAAAATAACACACATAAAAATGGTGGCCATTTTTCAAAATTGCCGACTACTCCCAAAAGTTTTATTAGACAATGTGCCATGCTTAAAGTATTCACATATCAAATATGAACAAAATCTCTCCACCACTTTTCGGGTTATAGTAAAATATGTTAAAATGGCCACCTTCTACCAAAAGTGTCATTAGAAATAGACATTGTGCCATGCTTATAGTATTCACATACCAAATATGAACAAAATCGCTCCACTACTTTTCGAGTTATAGTAAAATACGTTAAAATGGCGGCCATTTTTCAAAATGTTTTTCAAAATGGCCGCCTTCTACCAAAAGTGTCATAGGACAGTGTGCCATGCTTATAGTATTCACATACCAAATATGAACAAAATCGCTCCACTACTTTTCGAGTTATAGTAAAATACTTTAAAATGGCGGCCATTTTTAAAAATGGCCGCCTTCTACCAAAAGTGTCTTTAGACAGTGTGCAATGCTTATAGTATTCACATACCAAATATGAACAAAATCGCTCCACTATTTTTTGAGTTACAGCAAAAATCGTAAAATGACGATTAAAGGCCGCCATTTTTCAAGATGGCTGCCATGTGCTTCTTTAATATCTACATTTGTAGCATTATTAATGTCCTTTATAATTTTTTTACATTTAAAACATATTGCTATTACAGTTTTACATATTGCACCTAAATTACTGTAAAATCGGCACTAAAATGGCCGCCATTTTGAAATGAGCGGCCATTTTGAAAATCGGCTTTCGAGCAGAACTTCTACCCCCATAGGGTATATGTGTACAAAATATGAACAAAATCGGGCAAACGGTATTTGAGTTATTACCCGGACGGACGGACAGACGGACGGACGGACGGTCCGTACGTACGGACGGACGTACGTACGGACGGACGTACGTACGGACGGACGTACGTACGTACGGACGGACGGACGGAGGCGTTCCCTATATCCCTCCGAACTTCGTTCGATGGGATAATAAAATGAATTAAATAATGAAAACAATAAGGAGATAAACATTCAACATTACAAGTGCATATAATACATTTACCAAAAACAAAGCAGAAACATTTGGATGTTTGTAACATCAATGCATTAGCTTTTTCAGTTTTACTTATTTCTTATATCTGGATAAAATTAGACATGCTGCCTATCATTAAATCAAAACCTGAAGTTATTTTAAAATATACATTCTCATAAAATTGTTTCTGACCTTCTGGTCCGATCTGGTCCTGCTTCTTTGTGAAAATAGATTTTTCAATAAAGTTCCCAATAATTGAATGAAGAGTTCTATCATGCTCATGTAAACAACTGAACTATACAAATACCGTATTCTCTCTAAAAGGTACACATACTCCAATAAATGCTAAGAGCTATAAACGTTAAATCTGACCGAAGCGTGTTGGTTATCATCATATTACACATGCAGTGTATCATGGGAGCTTCCGAACCAGAAATATTTCTTTACTGTTTCCTTCAAAAACATTCATTCCTTTTAAAACGTTAAGAAGTATTAAATGAATATAAAAAGTATTTTTTCTGACCATGAAGACCAGTCAGTAACAGAAAGCCTTTAGATTTTGAGCTATTCTGACTAGGGTATCGCCCTAATATAATCATCTTTCAAAAATCCCCAGGGATTTTGTCATTTGAGACATCTCCTTCAGAAGAATTTGGAAGCTACACAGTGCATTTATTAGAGAGACTATGGTAGTAAAAATGTGTTCAAATAAGTAACTCACTCATGAACCCTTCCATCCCCATGAAGATCTGAGAGGCCAAAGCTGATGTAGTGCCAATGAGGGGGTATATTCTGCTCCGGGTCTCCAGGGTTTGCATACATACTGATGTAGTCCAGGGGGTCGGGTCCACCTAGCCTAGAGATAAAATAAAAACATAAGTATTGAAGTTCTAATTGACACTCAAAGTAAATTCTATGATTTTGGACTTTGGTTGGACAGACAGGCCAGGAAAGTGTTTCCCACAATTTAAAATATTTGACCTATCAAAATCGTCTAGTCCACAATGTTAAAAAATGACAAATATCTAAATCAACAAAAAGTAACGTAAAATAAAAGGTGACTGGGTACCTAGCGTTCCTATCAAGGTTAGGAATTTGATTTTTACATTTTATGCCTCAAAACTCAGGTAATACATCAAGCAACTAATCAGGGGCAGATCCAGGATTTTGTGTTAGGGGGGCGTGTGATAATAACTGTGAGTGAATTAAAAAAAAGAGTCAAATTTTGTAAAGAGCGATGAGGCAAAACACGCCCCCGTCTAGATCCACTGGTGCTAATGTTGTATTGTACAACATACATTAATTGACAGATAAAAACAGCGATAACATTTCAATTTGTGCGTCCATAAACAAATCTGGAATAATATCTAGTGGAAATGGCCATTGTAGAAAACAATAATCGATATCATGTCAATCGCTCAGATAATAAATCAAGCAACTAACGCACAGATAGCAGAATTTTTCTTAGGAAATACATCCTAAATAAAACTTCTTTAGGATGTATTTTCTTAGAAAAATTCTGCCATCTGTGAACTAACTTCATCGTACATGAAAACTGCAGTGTAAAATGTAAACTTCCTAGGACTTCTGAATTCAGTCCGTTTCATGTTCATGTTTATTCAGTGGATCTTGTGTAACCAGGTAACCATTTATTTTTCTGATATTTATAAGTTTATAAAGAAGTCAATTATTTCAAAAAGTGCTCTTTCAGGTTCTTGGTAAAAATGGTAATGTTAAAATATCGAATGGTAGTCTAAACTTGGGAGGCTACAAGTATGTCTATTTAGTGCTCAATTGGCTACTATATTAGGAGAAAATGTGCAACTTTGAAAGTTGATAACCATGCTAGGAACATTAGGTACCTGATCACCTGGCCACCCAGTCACGCAACCACCTGGTGACCCGGTTTTTTACACAAACCCAAAATAACAATGTTTTTTACACAAACCCGAAATAACAACATTGGGATGACTGGTAGAGTTTTCGCTTCTTGTTTCATGATGATTCATGAAAATAGAAGTGTCACGATATAATATAATGGAATTTAGTAAGTATGTTACAATAGAGTTAGTCTTGTAATTTTTTGTAGAATGTACTAAAGTTGCCTTTGAGGAACTTCTGATTCACTGAAATTGAACTCATGAATATAGAACTGAGGATTGAAAAATCAAACAAAACAAATCTTTGTTTTTCATTCTTACCAGTACTTCACCAATGCAGTCACTTGTAACGGATTTGGCTGGTTAGTGTAGAGCTTTCTGCATGCCGCATATATAGCTTCCAGTCCCGGTGGAGTCGTGGGAATGGTAGCTTGTGGAAAATGTTGAGCCAAATAAGAATCTCTATCATCCATCTTTCAAAGTTTCTTGGCAGCTGTAGTTTAGGATGGTTAATTTATCAAAATTACTCCCTTTCATGAAATAAATACTTTGAATCCAATGATATCATGTGATAAATCTTTTCACATTATAAATTCAGAGGAATAGACGTAAATTTATGTTGAAGCTTTTGACACATCTAAGTATGATTGAAGAAATATTTCGTTGTATTCAAATAAAAAGTATAACTTGTAGAGGAGTAAACTGCTTTGATGAAACAGCCAATTTAGTTTCCTCTAGCAGACCACCCAAGAAGACTAGTGTCCTTGAGTTACTCAGAGAAAATATCTGATATCTTCGACTGTATTTTCTGTTTATAAATCATTTATATACACGACTCCTATCCTTTACATATTTTAATACTCATAAAGAAACCTGCAAATGTCGCAAAATGTGAAAATGACCTCATCGTGACTTAACTTCCGGTGGCGCACGCACTTGCTGTCAATTTAGGAAGTGGAAGAAATATATATTTGACATCAAATTTCTGCAGAATGGAAGCATATGATGTCATAGCCAACCAGCCTGTTGTCATCGACAATGTAAGTTCTTGATTTCCAGCAAATATTGGGGCTCTGTGTCATTTAGTTCTGAAGATATTCAAAAATGTATGTCCCCTCCAGCTCATTTTCATTCATTTTTTTCAAAAAAACAACAAAACCATAGAGGATAAGATCCAAGGGCTCCAACTCGATATTTTAATCTCAAAGCAATTTGTTCAGTGCCGGTTTCTAGAGCAAAGAACGCACAAATGAACAACAAGAATGCCTGATATTCTTGCAATATTGACAACATCGATCATGTCATTAGACCAAGCCCATGATTAGACCACAGGGGCTTGTCTGGAGGGTCGGGCAAGCCCTCCGATGAGTGTGTACTTCTTATTAAGAGTTTAAGGGGGGGGGGGGTCGTTTTTGATGCTTCCTGAAATTTATAGAAAATGATTGTTAGATATATCCAGTAAAAACATAAGGAATCCTTTCAATAATCGACATGCTGATTCAAACAACACTACAGAGCAAAGTTACCTAAAATGGTAGCAATCCATCCACTAATTGTTGAGAAATCTGAAGAATATGTAAAGAAGTGATTAAAATGCAAAAGCCCACAATTTTCACATCCTAATTATTACCTCCAGAGTCGATTTCTTCCGCAAGACACGTCCACTGTTAAAAATTGGTCAGGGCTTGCATTAACGCCGTCCCGTACATGTTAAGGACTCAAAAATAATTTGGAGGACGCAAAAATTGAAAATATTTCCGTTTTTTGGACGCAATTTTTTTTAGGTCAACTGGGGCTTTATTAACAGCCAGCGGCCGGCGTTTTCGCCACTTCAAACCCCAGTTACCCCGGTTCAAAAATTGAGAAAAAATTGCCGGTCCAAATGATGAGAGATTTTGCTGACACATGAGACAAATCAATTAAGTTTGACATATCAAATGAAAGAATATAAATTGGCCTACCTTGTGAAGGCAAAATCTAAGTATAATAGGCAGATAATCAGCAGTGTTTTACAGAAACACTGAGATAATTATCTTACAATAATTCGGCCACCATTTTTATTGACCTACTCTCAAAACCAAAACATCATTGCTTTGAGACTAATGGGTCAGTAGCAAAAAACCTTTATCACTGTCCTGCCAACTTTCAATGGATTTAACAAACACTATAATACAATTGATCCTCTTGGCATTATCTCACATCATAGTGAGGAAGCACAAAGGGCAACATTTGGAAACAAATAAAATATTACAAGTCAAAAATGCATATCAAACTATTGAATGTTGATCTTTATATTTCATTGAAATGTGTTTACAACGATACCTAACAAAAACAAATAATTATGATCTCTCACCTTTATTTGAATCGTAAATAAGGCTCAACATGTTGAATAATTAAAAATAATCATGATTCTCTCGAATTTTTTCGACTTTGTTTATTTTTAGCTTTGAAACCATGACACGCAAGTTTTTCCTATTCAGAAACAAATATTAAGTTATTCATGAAATAAAATGTATTCATTGTCGAATTAACGAACATGCATTTATTCAGTCCGTACTTAACGTTTACTTCCGTTTTAAATTCGCGGCAAGAAATCAATTAAAAACTGAAAAATAAGGGACACACTTTTTTTTCAAAGGACACACTTTTTAAAAAAAATTGCGTCCTTGGGACTCACAAATTTTCTTACCTAATGCAAGCGCTGTTGGTAGTTCCTAGAGTTCTTTGTTTCCTTAGGTTCATTCCCGTATATTATTTTTAACGAAGGACAGCCTATAACGACTGCTATACGCAAAAAGATGCATGAAATTAGAAGTTTCGAAACTGAAAGTTGAAAAATGGCGACTTCCCGTGTTCTATGCGCATGCGTAAAAATGAAAGTATTTCATTCCCACGATTCAGAAGGATTCGAATTACTTTTCGGCAGTTGGTTCGGTTTTACTTAACCAAATGAAAGATTATTGCCAAGGAATGGAAAACGTCTTTCGAAGGTGGATGGATTGCTACCATTTTAGGTAACTTTGCTCTGTAGCGTTGTTTGAATCAGCATCAGCATGATTTTAAATCTGTGATTTTTAAACAAATGAGGGTTAAGTTGAAGTTGAGCTTAGAAAATTATACATATATATATATTGTATGTAGGTACATGTTTCTCCATATAAAAATTTCAATATGCTAGTTCATGTTGTCCATTTACTTTTCTTGTCAGTGTGTAGTTTGAGCATTCCTGAAATAATTGAATTTTTCACTTCTCTAAATTGATTCAATATTACTACCTTATTTGGTCTGGTCTGGTATATATTTTGACATTCATATATAAATGGTTTAAAATTTTGACAGGGGATCCCATCTGTATTCATCAAAGTGGCATAATGAGAAGATCCAGTTGCGTTCACAAAAATTTGGGATTCGGACCAGTTGGATTTGGACCAATGTGGTGTCCTCTTTTGATTTGATTGATGAATTTGGGTTTGGGTAGCAAATTGTAAATTTTCGTTTTCATTAAGTTTCGGAACATTGGGATTCGGACCAATGAGATTCAAACGATTCAGATTGGGATTTGGACCATTGTGATTCAGACCAATGAGGCAACCCCAATCAAAAGTTTACCATTTAGGTAGCCATTTGTGAATCAATTATATGAAAATTTTTGACTTGAAGGTTACTGTCTGATTTTGTATGCATTAGATTAGATTAAATAAATCCAGCTGTTACATTTGGAATCAATGTTAGTTTCTTTTATATCTTAGCCAATATTAGAAATATTAGCCAGTAGCAATTTCTGTAAAAGAGTTTGTTTGGTATGTATCACAAATTATATATTATTAGGAGGTCAGAGGTTTTATTAAGGTTTTTCTTTTTTTTTTATTTAGTACTAGTTTTAGTTAAAGAGAGCTACTCAATAGATTCAGTATTTTTACCCCACTTTTCATGAGGTGGAGTAAAGAAGTGGAAGCGGTCTGTCCATCCATCCATCCATCCATCCAACCAACCATCCAACCATCCATCCATCCATCCATCCATCCAACCAACCATCCTTCCATCCATCCATCCATTCATAAATATTTCTGTCTAAGCGATAACCCAAATAACCCAAAATACTGCTTAAACGATTGGGTTTAAACTGTTATGAACTGATTAGCAACTTTCTGGATGATCTAAATCAACACAAAATATTGATTTAGCTCGATATGAATTTTGACAAACAATCCACAAATAAACTCCTTAAACATATATTAGTCTATATATCATATAATAAGAGTTTGAGTCTGACAGATTGTATATAAATGAATAAATGTGAATCAACCTTTGTATAAAATTATGTAAGGATACTTCAATTGTCCCCTTTAACTGATAATGTCTTTTTAAGGTTCTGCTGCTCATTCTAAACATGTATATACTACATGTATGTTGATGTTCCACTAGAAATCAATAGGTCAAGTGTGTGAAATAAACTTCTATTTATTATTTCATGTTGAAATGATTACATGTATGTGTGTGTATATATTAAATAAATGTTGGTTTTAAATGATACTTGCAGGGGTCTGGTGTTATCAAGGCAGGATTTGCTGGAGATCAGATACCAAAATACCATTTCCCTAATTTGTAAGTATTTTCCCTTTTTCCAAGAGATGTTATCATGTTGCTCTTTTAAAATCCCCAAACAAGGGGTTGTTTCTCGGTTTGCTTTTTGAACAGGGGATGTGTGACTGTGTTTTTGAAAATGAGTTTTTCAGTTACATGTTATTTGAACATTGTTTTCAAAGTGCAAAATCTATACTCCTACTTACTTAATGGTACAGTAACTAAGATGCAGAAGAACTAAGATGTACTTACATCAAAAGTCAACAATATACTTTTGATTTGTATAAATACTCATTCGGTTGTCTGATATTTCTTGTAGCATTGGACGTCCCAAACATGTCAGGGTCATGGCTGGTGCCTTAGAAGGTGATACATTTATAGGACCAAAAGCTGAGGTAAGATCTTGTCAGTGTTATCCATATATAGCATAAATCCCTTGTATTGAGGATATTTTATGAGGCATTTAAAGCAAACTGCCTTACTGCATTTACTGCCTTATGTGGTATGGTATGATATGGTATACAATATTAGAATACTCCTTAAGAATAAATGCTTACATATCATTAGATAGTTATTCTATTATCATGCAATTTTATTTTCCTGTTGGCTATTCTGACGACGTCAATCCTCCATCTTGATAGTTCAATTAGAGACACCACCTATGTTTTGGACTAATTTCAATACTGACTTTTTACTCTACAGGAACACAGGGGACTACTTAGTATAAACTACCCTATGGAACATGGTATAGTGAACAATTGGAACGACATGGAAAGAATATGGCAGTATATTTATTCTAAAGATCAACTACAGACTTTCTCAGAAGAGGTATGTGATGTGCAATATTTAAAATGTTATTCATCAATTTTGTTTTGAGGATATAGTTCAGGACAATAAAAACTCATGATAAGTAACTATACCAAAAAATGTTAGACATAGTGTTGATGATTTGTGCTAGATGTTTTGATATATGGATGGTCTTGAGTTCAAGTCTCTTATAGGATTTTTACCACTATGAAATGTCTTAACCGTTGGTTTAAGCCGTCATTTTCCAATTTTGCAACTGTTGCCGTAGTATTCATTTGTTTTCATTCATTTTTCCTGTTGTCAGAAATTTCAATGAAACCTCTCCAAAAGCCTGAGTTAAACTGTGCATTGTTCTCTCTTTTATAGCATCCAGTCTTGCTGACAGAAGCTCCCTTCAACCCTAGGAGAAATAGAGAAAAAGCAGCTGAAATATTTTTTGAAACATTTAACGTACCAGCTCTATTTATTTCTATACAAGCTGTACTTAGTCTGTAAGTTTCTTTCTTGTCAATTTTAAATTTTTCATTTTGTCTCAATAATGGATATTCGGTAAACTGTAATTTCAAAAATAATTTATTAGAGCTATTATAATATGTACATATTTCAAATACTAAAATCATACATAACAAGTATCTAGCTAGGAGATAAAAAATAGATAGATTTAGATGAAATAATATCAGAGTACTGAAAGTTTTTTCAGTGTGTTGGCGTAGTAACTGCCTCACCTACCTGACTATATAAAACTTGAAATAAAATGTAACTATCTTGATTGTACATTACAGGTACGCTACAGGTAGAACTACAGGGGTTGTCCTAGACTCTGGGGAGGGGGTTACCCACGCTGTGCCAATTTATGAGGGCTTTGCCATGCAACATAGCATAATGAGGGTAGATATAGCTGGTCGAGACGTTAGCCGATATCTTAGACTTCTACTCAGAAAAGAAGGACATAATTTCCATACTTCTGCAGAATTAGAAATTGTTAGAACGATTAAAGAGGTAGGTTTATATGGCTAGTGTAATCAGGGAATTACGATAAGGTGAAATGGCATGCTATCACAGTCTTATCTGTGAAGTGGAAATAGACGAGACTACAGTAAAACTTGTAAAGTCAGACACCTCTAGAAGTGGAGCACTATGTTAGTGCAGCACTTTTCAGAGTCTGAAGACCAATTTATTTAATGATAAATGAAACTCTATAAGTGGAAAACTTTTCAGAGTCCCAAGACCAACTTATTTAATGATAAATGAAACTCTACAAGTGGAACACTTTTCAGAGTCCCAAGACCAACTTATTTAATGATAAATGAACCTCTACAAGTGGAACACTTTTCAGAGTCCCAAGACCAACTTATTTAATGATAAATGAACCTCTACAAGTGGAACACTTTTCAGAGTCCCAAGACCAATTAACTTAATGTTAATTGAACCTCTCTCAATGGAACACCTCCCTAGTGGAAAACCAAAGGTGTTGCACTTAGACAGGTTTTACTGTTATTGAAGGCAAAAACAATATATCTCATAAATGATGACAGACTTATCTTTAACAGTGTAATTTATGTTGGCTAATAATGCTCATGCAAAAACACACATTCTTTGATTTAAGAATTTCAAGTGAAGGACCTCACACATTGTAATCAGAAATAGCCTAAAATGTAAAACTGACATACAAAATAAAAGTAAATATTTAATTTTCAATGCCCAATTGAATAACAAGAATGAAATAATTTTATGTTCATTTAAAATTTGGGTTTATGCCTATACCAGTACAGCAAATGTCATTGTTTAACCAAAATAGTATACTGTAAATGTACATGTTATGTACTTTTATTTCCAGAGAGCATGTTATTTATCTATCAATCCACAGAAAGAAGAAACCATGGACACAGAAAAGACTGCATACACATTGCCAGATGGAAGCACCCTAGAGGTACATATGACCAGACCATAGTGCTGTATCATAGTGCTATACATGTATCTGCAATAGTATATACCATAGTGAAACACTAGTGCTATATGAACAATGGTACAATAGTGCTATATATACCATTGTGCTATATATACACTAGTGCTAAATGTACAATGGTACAATAGTGCTATTTATTATATACCTCAAATGTATTCTAGATGCTCATTGGCTTATTCATGGTCACATGACATGGAATAGATGAACTAATTCCCTGGAAAGTCCTAAATCCCTGCTTTCAGGGAAGATGAATTGTACTAATCACCAGTTAGGTCATGTGACCAGTCAATAGTACATTTTATCTTCCCCCAAATCTGAGATTATAGGAGTTGAAAGGTAAAATGCCTTTAAATGCCAATAAGAACCTGTGAACATTTGATATTGAAATGAAAAGACTTCTCATTTTGTTTTTGTTTACAGAGTACTTATCAGGTATATAATAAAACAAATAGTGACTGCCACATTGTCACTATTTGTACAATATACCATTGTGCTATATATACACTAGTGCTAAATGTACAATGGTACAATAGTGCTATATATACCATTGTGCTATATATACAATTGTGCTATATATATCATAATGCTAAGAAACTTTTTGATCGGCCCTTGTATTTACAATTGTGCAATATATACCATATGTCTATATATACCATAGTGCTATATTCTCTGCCCATGTAGGAAGTGTTATATGGATTTCAAACCTATGGGTCAAAATAGAATTATGGACCAACCAGTTGTAGTATTCATCAATACATGCTGAATGATTCAGGTGTCTTTGATTGAATTAAAAAAGAAAATATGACCATATACGTGTGGCAGATAGTCTTCAGATTAAAATTGATGTCCTAATAAGGTAATTTACAAATAGCTTTGTGCTAATAGCTTTTAATGTAGCATTTCACCTCAAGTTAATACTGATGTGGTTGAATTTTGAAGTGAGGTTCTTCTCTTTATAGGTTGGTCCTGCTAGGTTTAGAGCACCAGAACTTCTATTCAGACCTGACCTAATAGGTGAAGAATATGAGGGTATACACGATGTCTTACATTACGCAATCCAAAAATCAGATATGGATCTCCGTAGGGTGCTTTATCAGAATATTGTCCTCTCTGGAGGCTCAACTTTATTTAAAGGTACAGTTTGAATTATTTCTTGTGAACCTATATGTAGGCATGGGTTTCATTAGCAACAGGCGATTTACACTGATTGTTTTTACCAATTTCCATGTTTCTATGTTAAATATGATATTTTTCTTTCATTTTCCATTAGTCGCAAATTATAATGAAGCCCCTGTGTAGGTATATTGTTCATTCAATTGCCATTATTAAAAAAAATCATTGAAAATTAGAATTAAATGATTTTAATACTGTTATTTATTTTTCAAAATAATATTATACATTTACAATATGTTGGTGTTGAAAAAATCTGAAGTTTCAGTTTTATAATGACTAAAACTTTCTTAATTCATAGAAGGCATGTGCATACTTATTGTGGATATTATTGTATATTATTGTATTTTATTTAGGTTTTGGTGATAGATTATTGAGCGAAGTGAAGAAATTAGCCCCAAAAGATATCAAAATTAGAGTAAGTATGATTACAGACATAATAATAAAACTACTCAAACCTTTACGAAGCTCCTGATTCTGTAAATGTAGATAACAATATTCTGGATTTTATGTCACCACCAAGAAGTGGTGGCATATCATTATAACCACCATTTTATGTGACAAGTGTTTTGCATCAGTGTTAACCTCTGCAACAAACACTTGTAATTACACAAAGGATTCAATACTGGTCACTAACTGACCTTTCAATTATTGATAATTAATGCACAATAGTTAACAAATACAGTTCATTCCTATCAGTGACGTTTATCAGAGTACCTACAAAGGTTCTAAAATCGTAATGATTAGTACTTCAGTGAATAACTGAGGTCAGGTCATTTCGTCTCTGTCAAGTATGATGATGGGTGGCTCTTATTAGAGACCTCTGTAGAGATAGCTTTTCCTTTGTGAATTTGGCCTCAGAAGGCTTCTCTGGATTGTGAAACTGTGTACTGGTGACATCAGCCATTTGAAAGCGGGCTAAGTCTTCTTTCACAGTGTCCTTTCACCAGTTCTGGGGCAGGTAAGGGTTATGTTTGTGTATAAATGTTGAAGCTATTGATATATATTTGTGTGGGTTACCTCAATATTGTATACTATAAACTGTAGATAGTATTTGTTCTGTCTTGGTAATTGTTGTATCAGGTACTTAGTGTTTGTATTCCCTTTTTTTGCAGGAAAACAATATAGCTTACATGAAAAGTTTATAAATTATTTTCATCCAAATCATACCATAATTTAGAATATTGAACAAATATTTCACTCTATTGAGGTGAATACCTGTACATCTTTCACAAGTGATATTCCACGAAGCCCGAAGGGCAAGTGGAATATCACCATGTGAAAGTGCTACAGGTATTCACCGAAAATAGAGTGAAATATTTGTTTTATTATATCACTGTCTAGCTAAACATCCCTAATATTATTAAGTCATTAAGTCTTCAGATATTTTTACAAATCTACTCGGTTCGTCTGCCATTTTGACTTACACTGAACTAAATTATTTACACTGAACGAAAACAAATTCTTTGAAAATTCCCGGGAGCGTAGAATACCGCTAGATATCTCACGGTTGTCTTATCTGATTAGCATTGCCATTGAATATCGCCAGATATCCCACGACATGTGACCCGGTTTTGACCAATCATACTGTCGCTAGCTAGATAATGATATAATAATTATAGATATTGAACTGTTATTGCAATAAAAGTTATTTTTGTTAAAATAACTGTCTTGTTTATATGAAACACACAATAACAATTACTTTAATGTATTGCAGCCAGGTGTGTCAATATAAAGTCACGATAGAAAACAAGTTTATTGCTTCATTCCTCATTTCATAGTGTTATGGTATTGTAGTATCATCACTTTTTGACTCTAATATTATGTGCAACAAGGGCAACTTTACCAGAACATTCTTCCTATTTCTCTTTAGTTGTTACCACGCTAAGAGAAAAAATTTAGACATCTATCGCATTATAGTAGGAACACAAATGGCTTACGCAGTCATAACTTTTCAAACTTGCTATCTACCGCTGGTGGTGACATTAACTGACTTCAAATGAAATAACTGAAATATCTGACTGGTTATACTTAGTATAAGTAAGATATTTAATTTAAATTTTAAAGGTAAGTCACATATTTGTCCCTAAACGACCATTTAGAAAGCTATAAAATTTTGTTTTTCTGTTTCCCAACTGTATTTCATTTTTTTTAAATTCCAAATACTGCATGTTGTACACATTTGGAAGCAATCTATATGAGATAAATATAGAATTTATAGAATCTCTTTCTGGCTTGCTTTCATAATCTCAACAAGGTTAAATACCTTAGCTAGTAGTACCATAAGAACTGAGGCAAAGATTACACAAAACAATAGAGTTGCAGTTGATTATATCACAAATATGACTCAGTTTATTTCAATATAAATTACAATATTAATCCAGATATCTCCTCTCTTATATTGACGACTACTGACCACTGTTTGTGATTCATCAATAATATTTCCAAAGTTGCCTTTGGGAATCCTCATGTATGGTCCAAAATGTACCTGAGATAACTATCTGTTTGACATCATCTGGAAAACGTCAAAGGCATCAACTACAAATTTTTTAAATGTCAGAACACACAAGCGAGATTTGAGAATTAATAGTAACAATTACAAAATTACCTCAAAATCTGAATGATAACACATTGGTTTTCTCAATGTATTCTCCCAGGTTGGGCCAAGTGGAAATTCACGTTCACTTCTCTTGTTCTTCTATGAGCTCTCCCATTCACAATGCAACAAGTAAATACCATCAACATTGTATGCAGCATCTCCCTTCCTTTTACCCCATTATATGTCAATACTCTTCAATGTTATATATATCCACAAGTTACATCACTCAAATTAGTCTAGCCCTTGTGACCCCTCCCCTTGACACTACTGTGTGAGAAGATGTGTTGTCAAGTAAGGGAGGGTGGGTCACAGAGGCCTTGTAGCTAGACTATACATGTAAACATGAAGACAGTATCATTATGCATGTAATAGAGAATAATAACTTGGCAGTAGTTCTCATTCAGATACAATACACACACTGACACAATCACTTGATTGTTGTACATATTTCAATTCTTCATTCAAAGGATCATAATATTACTAGTCATACATATTGAAGAATTAGAACTCTGGTGAGTTTGACTCAGACTTGAGTCCTGTATTTTGCTTCTAGGATAACATTAGATACTAGTAAATTTTAAAAACTGACTAGTATAGAATGAGTAATTTTGCTTGTTTAAATGTTTTGCTGAAACTGCCAAACTGTCTCAGTATAGGCTGCTATCGTGCTATAGGCCTTCAATGTTCCTTATTTCGTAGGGGAAGTCAAAAAGCATTCTTTAAAGTCACTTATCTCACTTCCAGATACATTCATAAGATGTGTAATTGAAGTGTAATATTCAAGTCTGTAACTGAATAAATATTGATATTTTCTGAATAATAGAAACCATCACACAATAATATTAAAAGCAGAATCAGATATAGGGGATCAAAAAATTGGAAGTAAGAATTGACCTATCAATGTGTTATAGTACATGTACTAAGATCACAAATATATCACATACATCTTTCAAAGGATCTGTGATATCTTAGCTCATTTAAGATTCAAGTGCAAATATGGTATATGTTAATCTTCCTTATGGTAAATGTAAATATCCACATGTACACATTGATAGAAAAGTGAATGCATAATGTAAAAATCATTAGTTTTCCTAGAATAGAATTTGAACTTAGGAACTTTGAGAAAAAGACATGACAACGATGGGCCAAAAATATTCAGAATCAAATCATTTTTTGGGAAAAGTTGCTAACTATATCTGATTCTTCCTTTAAATAGAGTGTCCTTTGTTATGTTATTGTTAATATTGACAAATTATAAGCAGTGGTGTACATGTAGTTTTATTTATGGTTGACAAGTCACTGACAACCCAACTCCCATGGCTGGTAAGGGTACTTGACAATTTGGTGTTCCAAGTGTTATATCTGCACACTCACATCTAGCTTTGGCCAGGGACTTTGCTGAATTCATAGCTGCCGCATTTGCAAAATAGAGTCCGGTTCCTGTTCCTCCATGGGCAACCCCGCTTGGAGGTTTAAAGCTGAACAGACTTCCTGATGGCTGTTGATATGTAACTAATCCAGCAGATGGAGTACCTACACATCCAGTGCCTTGTACATCTATGTCAATTTTCGTTTCGTCAGGGGGATTAAGTGGGGGAGTTATGCTAACAATTATGTTCCCACTACCTTTGTATTCCAAACAAACAGTTCTGCTGGTGGTTGTGTCCTCTCGGATTCCGAATATCTGATTTAAAGTCAGGGGATGTAGAGCTCCTTTTGATGTTGCTCTGACTGATGATTCAGTGAGTGGTTGACCAACCACGCTAACCCTTACTTTAACATACCATGCCCAGTAAGTAGTAGGAGCTTGAGGGAACCAAATCAATGGGTATATAGCTGGCATCATTGGACAAGCAAAGAAGTTCAAACAAACACTGTACTCGTACAAGGAATTTGGGTCCCTATAGAATCTATAATGAGGATTAGCTGTTGTTGCTGATCGGCATTGTGTCTGTGCCAATGCTGGGTTGTTGAATGCATTGTGGTATACTGGCCCTTCTGTGTTTGCTCCCGGGGCCCCAAGCGTTGCTGTAGTATCAATTGGTTTATTGTGGATAATAGAGCCAGCTGCTCCACTGATGGTTGGAATTATGTTATTAACAGGGTAAACAGGAGCACTACCACCTAGCAATGCAGATGAGGAGAACGGTCCATTTTGATTTTCAGCAAACAGGTACGCATGGATATCAGTTGTACCACACACAGTCAAAATACAGTTCTGGGATGATGCAAGTTGTTGGTTTAATGACATTCCCCCTGTTGTTATTTGATTCCATGGTGAAGTTGCAGTAGGATCCAGAGCTATAACTGTGAATTCAGTTGATGAAGCCCAAGGAATCTCTGTTGTAAATGTAGCATCAGTATATGTCCTCATGTTGATGAAACAATAATTGAGATTTGGGTTATCAAAGTTGATCCAATACCTGTCTGTGATGACAATATTTCCAACTAAGAAAGTGCTATCAAAGTTTGCTTGGGCTCGCTTTGTTCTTCTGCCTCTTGACATTCTTGATGCACCTTCCCAACGCCCAGTTTTTTCATTAAAACTATACAGATTAGCTCTTTCACCTCCACTACTGCGTTCAACGAATTCAGCTTTAATTGCAGCATCTATTGTGCCTTCCATCTTTACCTCTCTACCTTCAAAGTCCTCAAAAGATAAACGAAACATTCCAAAGGTTTGTAGTAGTCCTGTGTTTCCTTCTTTGTCTTCAAATGTCAAATCACCAACCATAGTGTCTAAAGATGACAGGCTTCTGGTATCAACAAAGTTAACAAATGCATTGAGCTTCCCTCGGTAAGGCTGCCCATTGAACGTAAACAGACTGTCTTTATTTGATATTAGGATTTCTGCCAGTGGCTCATCATTTTCTGGTGCTAAGTTGATTCTGTTTGTATTTGATGTATCGATTATGACTGGTTCTGGTTTATGCATCATTGGGATATCTTTATAGAATATTCCAATATGTCCAGCAGGTATATGGAAAACTTTGGTCGTTTCTACAAGGTTTTGTGGTATGAATCTTACTTTGACATTTACAACAATTCGAGATTGACCCTGGGGCACAGCAAATTGGAAATTTCCTGTAAAACTTGTATATGTCGTGTGGATTCCTCCCACTGTCACAGAACCAAACATAAGTGGAGTACTGCTGTCTTCAACATCAAAAGCCCTTCCATAGAAGGTCACAGAATTATCTTGGATAGACACACCGCCTGTAGTAGGGTTGTTGAATTGGTTACATACCTTCCATCCACATCTAAATGTTTCGACAAGCTTTAGCCTGAACCCTTCACATCTTAGGGTGAAAGATATCTGTTTTGTAGGCCCGCAGCAGTATTCTTGCTCTCCCTCTGTAAGACGAATGTCTTCTCTGCATCGTCCCAAATTGTAACTACGATGTCTGCATTCTTTGGGCAGTGCTGTATAATAGGCTTCTGGTTTTGGATTACAATCTGGAAAATGAATTTCAGTATAAACCATCTAAAAGGGGTCCAATGGCTTTGATCTTCATGTACATGTAGGTGCTCAGTACATGTATATATTTAATTTTGAGATGTTATCTACTTCTACCGAAAGCTGGCCTCTTTTTCCAGAAGGTCAAAAGAAATGACTTTGACAAAACATTATGTTAGAGTAATCTGGTAGAAGTAAGAAAATATAAGGTGATAAGCTTTAAAGTGGTAAAAACAATTTTCATGGCCAAATTTAGATATCGCCAAGTTTCAATTTCATCATTCTGGAAATATTAGATTTGTAAGACATTAAAGGCAGAATCAGATCTATAGGGGGTGACAAAATTACAAGCAACGTGCATAATTGACCTACCAATCTATTCCTTACAATATCAAATACAATATCTCCCAAAAGATTCACAATATATTATAAATTGTTGAAGTTATAATGATTCTAAGTGCAAAAATGGGTGAAAAATCTTAAAATTCTCCCAAATAATAAGAATGGTAACCATTCCTATAGAAAAATAATACATTATTGTAAAAATCTATTGTTTTCCTTGAATAAAGTGTGCACTTTTGTGATTTTTAGAAAATAGACGTGACAAGGAATGACATGAGCCAAAAATATTCTGAAATTGATACAATTTTTTGTTTAGCCTGCTCGCTATCTCTGATTCTCTCTTTAAGTCCTATTTAGGTCATATTTGATATAATATACATAAGATAAGAAACAAGCCTTAATGCACCAGTTTATGACAAATGAGTCCAGAGATATTGAACTCTTTGTGTAGATTTTGATCGTGACACATTTTTTAGCCTAACCTATTTTATATTTGTAGCTTCAAGCAAAAGATGACAGTTGTGACAACTCAAAGTAGTATTCCTAAAACATTTCCAAGCTATGTGTGATATATGATACAACTATTATAATTATGAAATAATTTTCGTATTTTTTTAAATGACTTTATAGTGCCCTATTTCAGGAAAATAGAAGAAAGTGGGCACGCTCAATTTTATCATTTTACACCCTTGATGCTTCGATATCCAAATTCGGCAATGAAAATTGTTTTTACCACTTTAAAACCTATCACTTCATATTTTCTTATACATACCAAGTTACTCTTACATGATGTATATTTTGGAAACTTTTGGAGATTCATTTTTTCATACATGTAATATGTCATGCGAGTTCACTGAATCTTGTCATTTTTAATTTTGGGCATTTTTTATCATTTATTGGTTGTTACGGCAACTTATTAAAATCTCTTTATTTGCATTGGAAGAAAATTATAAAAAACTCAGCATGTTACAATTCTGCTCATTTTTTTTTGAACAAACATACTGATCTTAAAAATAATTAATATTACTTACATAATCTCTGTGCAAGGACATCCTAGATAAGGCCTATACTTAAAAGTACGGATATGGCAAATAAGTTTCCCAAGTTTTTCATAGTTAAATGTCAGCCAGCCTTGAGAAATGTGAAAATAGACAATGTTGATGTGTATGTGTTGATATACTGATGCAAAAGTTTTATTATTGAGGATGTACATTGAGTTAAGCTTTTCAATTTTTGTGTTGAACGTTTATTTTTATATTTTTAATGTTGCCATAAGGTAAATGGATTGGATAAATGGGCGATAGTAACTAGTGTTTCAAAGGATTTAATGTCTTATGGTTGCATTATTTTTTATTGCAACACTGTATTGAATAGTATTATTGTATTCAAGAATTTTATTGAACCAATCAAATTTTTAAAACACATCCGCGTTCATTTCATCAACCAATAGGCAACCAGCATTGCTAAAGATCATCCCACACAGATATTACATTTATTACTTCCCGATCTGACTTATCGTAGATTGTTTGTAGTTTTAACTTTTCTCTTCACTGTTTGTACAAGTGAAATATTGCTTTCTACCAGCCCTCCGCCAGCTTCATGAGAAAATTTCACAGGTCTCATATTATATACAGTATGCCTTTTCAATTACCCAAGTTGCCCTTTTGTAGCAATTTTATGACAAAACAGTTCATTTGATCAGTTTTTCAAAATTCATAAAACTTGAGTTGCACATTATATATATGGTTGGTCATTTTGTTATATACACACTTACCAAAATGATGCAACGTATCTTATGAATGAATTTTGATACAAAATTCAAACATAACAAGGGTTCCTATGAAACAAAATTCTGTATACCCTGGTATTGTGAAAATGTCTTTGGCTTGCAGAGGCTTTTGATTTGCAGACATATTTTACTTAGATGATTTATGTTTGACTTTCAGAGGTCCTTCACTAGCAGAAATGTTTGATCTACCTAGTTGTCTATAAGCTTACAGAGGTGTTTGACTTCGAGTTTTGACTCATTGAACAGTTTCACTTACAGATGTGCTTCATTTACAGGTGTGCTTCACTTACAGGTGTGCTTCACTTACAGATGTGCTTCACTTACAAATGGGTTTCACCTACAGATGTGCTTCACTAAGTCGTGCTTCACTAACTGATGTGGGTCACTCACAGATGTGCTTCACTTACAAATGTGCTTCACTTACAGATGTGCTTCACTAAGTGGTGCTTCACTAACTGATGTGGTTCACTCACAGATGTGCTTCACTTACAGATGTACTTCACTAAGTGGTGCTTCACTAACTGATGTGGTTCACTCACAGATGTGCTTCACTTAAGTGGTGATTCTCTTACACATGTGCTCCACTTACAGATGTGCTTCACTTACAGATGTGCTCCTTGTACAGATGTGCTTCCCTTACAGAAGTGTGCTTTACAGGTTTAATCATTTAACTAACTTCTATTGAAATTCACTTTGTATAATTTATTTTATGTATATTTGTAGATATCAGCCCCCCAAGAAAGATTATACTCTACATGGATTGGGTGAGTATACATTCTCATTGATACAATTACACTCTACTATACCTTGAACTTGGTGTTCATAAGCAACCCATTTGGCTTATTAGTAATGATTATGTTATTTGTTTTTATATGTCTGTTCCTTATGAATGGTTTATCGGATGACGTTAGATGTTAATAAGGTACTTTCAAAAATATACTAAACAATACAATTGGACAAACAGAGTATCTTATGCATTTCTAGGGGTTAGGTATAGTAGAGTGAATTAGTACAATTATATTTGCATAGTGGGGACTAGGACCTCAGTTTTTAAGCAGACACATACTAAATCGAATGGACATATTTTTTAAAAACAACTTCATTTTCTTAATTGGCCTTATTTGGAGTTTGCCTCGATTTATTTTTTTATTTTAATTATTTAGATGTTTGTAATTTGTTGTTAGAAAATAATTCTCAATTTTTGTGATTGTTATGTCACCACCAAAAGTGGTGACATATTGTTATGGTCTCCGTTTTTTTTATGTCACCACCAAAAGTGGTGACATATTGTTATGGTCTCCGTTTTTTGCGACGGCGGTTGGCGTCCGGCGGTTGGTGGTTGGCGTCCGGCGGTTGGCGTCTGTAACAATTTCTTACAACTTCCTATAACTTAACAAATACTGTTTAGACTGACTTCAATTTTTTTCTAAATTATCTACATGTTCTCAGAAGTTCAAATCTGACTTTAGATTTGACATTTGACCTTCAATGACCTTATCAAGGTCAAAAAGGTCTTTTTTCAACTTGCTTCACATTGACTAAATTTTTTTTCAAAATCATCTACATGTTCTCAGAAATTCAAATCTGACTTTAGATTTGACATTTGACCTTCAAATCTGACTTTAGATTTGACATTTGACCTTCAATGACCTTCTCAAGGTCAAAAAAGGTCAAAAAGGTCTGTTTTCAACTTGCTTCAAATTGACTAAATTTTTTTTTCAAAATCATCTACGTGTTCTCAGAAATTCAAATCTGACTTTAGATTTGACTTTAGATTTGACATTTGACCTTCAATGACCTTCTCAAAGTCAAAAAAGGTCAAAAAGGTCTGTTTTCAACTTGCTTCAAATTGACTAAATTTTTTTTCAAAATCATCTACATGTTCTCAGAAGTTCAAATCTGACTTTAGATTTGACATTTGACCTTCAATGACCTTTTCAAGGTCAAAAAGGTCTTTTTTCAACTTGCTTCAAATTTACTTAATTTTTTTTTCAAAATCATCTACATGTTCTCAGAAGTTCAAATCTGACTTTACATTTGACATTTGACCTTCAATGACCTTCTCAATGTCAAAAAAAGTCAAAGAGGTATTTTTTCAACTTGCTTCAAATTGACGAATTTTTTTTTCAAAATCATCTACATGTTCTAAGAAGTTCAAATCAAACCTTCTTAAGGTCAAAAGGTATTTTCCAACTTGCTTTAAATTGACCAAATTGTTTTAGGTGGTGACATTTTGTCATGTTAATGCCTTGTTTTTAGTTATGTTTTTGTGGAACTTTAAGTTTGATCATGATGTTATTTCTGTATTTTCAGTGGTTCTATCCTAGCATCTTTAGATACATTTAAGAAAATGTGGGTAGCCAAGAGAGAATATGACGAGGAAGGAGCCCGTGCGATTCATAGAAAAACATTCTAGTATTGTTGCAACATCTAGAACATGCTTCATTATACTGCAATTGTGAAATGTACTCATATACAATGGACTTTTGTTCATTCTGGTCTATTGTTACAAATATGTGTTTTAAATGCTGTCATGTGGTCTCTGCATGATCCGCAGAATGAAGACAGGGGAACATTGTTTTCTACATGAATTGTCTGCTTGTTATGGATTTATGATGATGTGGTCATTGGCTTGCTGTCCTGATTTGCTTCATAGTGTTCTGCTTATACTGGCATTGAGTATATAGCATATCAGAAGTATAGATGTCATCCAGGCAAATATATGCACACATAATCTAATGTCAAAATTCCTCCAGTCCCTCTCTAGACCTTCTGCCAATGCTGCATGTAATTTCCATAAGAGAGCTAGGTCTGTATTTACTTACTGTTTGGGTGCTAAGGAAAAAGAGAAGTTAAAGGATGATGCGTTTTGTGTCTTCAATTTAAGGCCACTTCAGGCCTGGACAATTCTCAAAAATGACCCTATATTTGTTGCAGGACTGTCTGGCATTCAGCTCTATAGGGTTCGTCTGATCTTTGACTGACTGTGATTTTGTGGCTAGAATGGGGCTTCCAATATAGCTGCTCCTTCTAATTCAATGTATTTAAACATCTTTGTTACTTTACTCAATTTTGAGGAAGTCACTTTAGGAAAGATCTTTAATCTGTTTAACTTGACTTGAATCATTTGTAATTGCGGGGAATAACAATTGTACGATGCCATGAGTCTATAATCAATGTTTTATAATGAAATAATTATGTCATGTTTATAAAAATTATGACCACAACATGTGTTCGGAACAGAGCTTTGAATTGGGACATTTCACATGTGTTGGACCTAATTTGTTTGTAATGTGTAAGAGAAAATTCAAATTGTGTTCTTTAATGTACCATTTGTATGCACCGAATACAATCTTAAATATCATTATAGCAATGACTTTGTAGGCCAGCTTTTTTATGTTTTCACAATACATTAAAATGTTAAGATTTGTCGCCTAAGGGGTCATGTCAAAATCCCAATGCCCAATGAATAGCATAATTGATCTTGATATTGATTTATGCATTGATTACTAGGAGTTCGGCTCGTTTGTATGAGTTTTTATAGTCAAATAAATGCACAATTCATACACAGACATAAATGAACATAACACTGAATAAAAGTACTGAATGAAAGCTTTAATAAAGTTTAATATCAGGCTCCAATATTCAAAACAAAAACTGTACTATACTTTTTGCCATAATTTATATGATGTAAAAGGTGAAGGTGTAGGTTTTTTCTAATTTTTAATGATTTTATTATGAACAAGTTACTTAATACTTAGCTTGCGTAGTTGAAGTAGAGCTACTTCATTCATATTTATTTCATAACTGAAATCTCATGTTTTAGAAATAATGCATATTTATTTACATATTCATTGTATTGAGTAATTGAAGAGGGTTTATATCATTGTGTTGTTGTATTACAAATATTGCATTTAGAATTAAATAACCATCATCCTCCCCATCCTCCTGAATTTGTTGGGTATCATAAATGAACCTTTGATTGGAAGGAGGAGGTTAAAATCAGAAATACACCCTGCTATGATAAGACAAGGCTAAGGGAGAGTTCCCCTGCTAAATGCATAGTGATATTGAAATTAATAACGTTTCAATTGCAGATTTCAAATATTGTTAAAATGTGATAATTTTCAAAATAGTATCTCAACTAGTCTATCCTTAGTTGTCCTTTTAAATATGCCAAAATTACTTCCTCGTGTTATTCAGTTATCATCCATATTTAAATGCTTTACTTGTGAGGTCTTCATGTAGAAGTTTTAATATAGAAGACAGTATATATACTACTACTACTCATACATTGACTGTGTATTTGAAAGGTACATAGATGTATATATATATTATACATGTAATGTAAATTGTATAATATCAACAATGTACAAAATAAAATAAAATTGAACAAAAGTCTGTGATGTTTATTGTGAGTCATGATACAACTACTTTTTTCCAATTTCTGTTGATTTATTGGTTCTACAGGACTACAGTGGGGAATTCACCACCAAAGTCAATGATTTCTCTCTGATCAATGCTGTACCACCCAAGTCAATTGAATGATCTTTACTCAAGTAATTGCAGTACTATATCTAGTATCACCCAAGTCTATGATCTTACTCAAGTAAATGCAGTACCATCCAAGTCAATTGGATGATCTTTACTCAAGTAATTAAAGTACTATATCTAGTATCACCCAAGTCTATGATCTTACTCAAGTAAATGCAGTACCATCCAAGTCAATTGGATGATCTTTACTCAAGTAATTAAAGTACTATATCTAGTATCACCCAAGTCTATGATCTTACTCAAGTAAATGCAGTACCATCCAAGTCAATTGAATGATCTTTACTCAAGTAATTACAGTACTATATCTAGTATCACCCAAGTCTATGATCTTACTCAAATCAATGCAGTACCACCCAAGTCAATGATTTCTTCTCAAGTCAAGGCAGTACCATCCAAGTCAATGATCTCTACTTAAGTTAAGGCAGTACCAAGTCAATGATCTATACTCAAGTCAAGGCAGTACCACCCAAGTCAATGATCTCTATTCAAGTTAAGGCAGTACCAAGTCAATGATCTCTACTCAAGTCAATGCAGTACCACCCAAGTCAATGATCTCTACTCAAGTCAAGGCAGTACCACCCAAGTCAATGATCTCTACTCAAGTCAAGGCAGTACCATCCAAGTCAATGATCTCTACTTAAGTTAAAGCAGTACCAATTCAATGATCTCTACTCAAGTCAAGGCAGTACCACCCAAGTCAATGATCTCAACTCAAGTCAAGGCAGTACAATCCAAGTCAATGATTTTAACTCAAGTCAATGCAGCACTACCCAATGCAAAAACTCATTTACAGTATATGCATCATATCTGATCTACAAAGCCCTATGGCCCCCCTCACACTACTTGACCACTCACCTCACACTTCTGGGGAGGTGTGTAGTTGGGAGAACTCACAAGGGCGTGTAGCAAGACTACATCATTCCAAATAATCTCTTCTTCGTCATTAATGTACAACCCAAGTCAATGATCAATTCTGTATGTTGTAACATTTCTTGAATAGGTCATATGAAAAGACTAACACACATTTGATGTATAATGTTTTTTATTTTGTAAATAAATCAAAACATCTTTAAAAATGTTGACACCTCCAGTACTTTATATTGCAATATACAGAAATATCACATTTAGTTAACAATTCAAAATACAGTAAAACCTGCATAGTTATTATTATAGTATTGTAAATGACGATCTGAGATCAGGTATCATTTTCCTGACAAGTACTATCCTTCTTCTGTAATTTGTGTCTTTCAAAAGTTTGTTCTCGCAACAGTTTTATAAACATATAAGCAGTATTTTATTTGCTATTTACCATAAATTTTGCCATTTCCTTGTCCGCAGTACTAAAGGTGCACCGGAACGATTATTCTACAACTTAATTTAAATTCTCAATGATCAAAAGATATACTGTATATATATATATATGTAGATATAATTATTGTAAACTAGTACTGCCAGAAACTGTGCCCTAAAAGCATAGTTATACATGTGTAAGTAAAAGTATGTACATGTATGCACACAAAGTTATTCAAGTAAAAGTATGTATGTACACAAAGTTATTCAAGTAAAAGTATGTTTTATACATGTACATATCTAAATATATCCTAAATATCACGCGGTACTAACTTCGACCGTTAATTTGAATTTTTGACCTACCAGATGCTTGAAAATCAAGGATTGCGAGTCTCATACTGCATCGTTTTTCTTCAAACCTATACCATTAAAAGCAAAACAAAATTGCCGTTCTGTCGGTGCATTGCTTTATTGTAAAGAGTCCCTCGTTCTAGCAGTGTTTTGGTCCCCAGCTGTTACAAGGCCTTCTTACAGCTGGGTACCAAAATGCCGCTAGAAGTAGGGAATAATGTACCATTAGAAAGTGATTTTTGTTATGGTTTGAATGGAACAAGTTTGAAGAAAAACGGTGCAGTATGAGACTCGTAATCCTTGATTTTCAAACATCTGGTAGGTCAAAAATTCAAATTACGATCAAAGTTAGGACCGCGTGAATATATAGTTCTATAAAAACAAATGCATAATTCAACTTATTTATATACAAAAGTAACAAAATTTTTTTGGCAGCTCTGATATTTTGTTTGGCTCATTTGTGTTGTCATAGTAATGCAACACACTGGTACTGGTAAAGTTAGTTGACCTACTTCATCTTTATATAATAATACAACTGATTAATCATAATTCAAAACACAAAGCTATGATAGTAGGGATAGGTTTGGCCTAAAATGGCTCAACCCCCCCCCTCTGGCTACGGTCCTGATGTTCAACTACAGTTGAAACTGTAATCTAAAACTAGACTTGTATCTAGTCACAGAGATAAAATTCACAATGTGTGTAAAATATATGTGGAACACCTGAAACACAAGTATACACATATGAAAGACTAATTTTTTATCTCCATTTATCAAGGTATTACTTTTTGCAGATTCGTGTGTGTGTACCATACGAGGATGAGTTGCCATAATCCCTGTCACCCTCCATGTAGTCCTGACCTTCTCTAGTTCAAATTTTTCCAAGTATGAAATTACTCATTATATTGGGAGCAGCACTGTCAAAACCTGACATATCAAGCATGCCAGGGTCCTCTGGATCCGCTAACGTGAATCCATTACTGGTCATAGCGCAGACAATCAATTTAGCATCCCAGATATTCATGGCCTTGCGGTATTGACGGAGGGCCTCAGCTGGATGCACTGCCCCTGCCCAGGTTTCGCAGTCAGTGTATACGATAAAAACATCAAATTCTTTCTTGTACTTCTTGGCCCATAGCATTGGTTGAGCACAGTCTGTGCCTCCCATAGAGAAACGTTTAATCTCAGAAATCACTTGTTGCAGTTGCATTTCACTCCTAATATCCATCTTTTTTAAGGTTTGTGAAAATGCAACCACTTCGTAATTTGTCTCTGTACGTGCTGTCGTCATCATCATGGCAGCTGAAGCATCACGACATGTAATGGCGGCAGTGCCAAGAACTGGGGAACACATTGAGCCACTCACATCAACAGCAAGGCAATATCGTTTGTTAGTCGGTTCGACAAACTTGAATGACAAGTGGTAGGCAGTATCCAATGCCTTTGTTACTTGCAAATTCACAGGCCACTTCAGTTTACCCCTTTCGCCTGCACCTTTGCTGTACGTAAACAAAGCCACTAAGACATTGAATGGGTGGATACGAGCCTGGCGTAACTTCATCTCATTATTCAGACAGTCCACAATTATCTTTTCCTCCTCACTTCCTTTTTCGAGCAATCCAATGCTTGACATCTTGGAAAGATTCCTAATCATGGCTGTCATTGGCATATTGACCAACAGTGCGCTCCATACAACTTTGCTGTTCAACATATTGGTAGGTATATGCTCCCTCACCAGTTGGTAACTCATGATGAGACCTTTGAGCTGTTGCTCATCTTGGGATATACGAGCCATTTCAACCACACACAGGTAATCAAGGACATCTTTAACATCTTCAGAATCATACTTTTCATTCTCATATGTCTCTTTCGTAGCCTCGATTCCCTTGACAATATACTTGAAAATGCAAGCAAGTGAATCAGATTCTGTTTTCATATGAGACAATCTTAAAAGGTCCTTATGGGTCCATCCATTCCTGTTGCGATATTTTGTGATATGATTGGCCAGTTTCTTTGGTTTATCGGAAAATTGTGTGTACCATGATGAAACAGCACGTCGATGAGCACGACCCCACCCAGTACCTTTGCTTAGTTTCTCACATTGCTGAACAAATGCAAACAAGTGAGTTGGGATTCGACAAACTTCGTTAAGAACTTTGTAGGCTTCTGCTTTGGTGTCTGTATCTTCAGACCTGGCACATAATGCTAGGGCAAATATTATAGAATCTTGCTTGGCTGTTCGACCATCTACGCTGAAGTCACGTACCACTTTTACAATGTCCTTCCCTTTACCTTCTTTTATGAGCTTTAAAAACACTTTTGCATTCTCTAGTCCAAGTTCCTTGGGAGAAGAATAATAAGTCCCCGATTCAGAACCAAAGCATAGAAATCTCCTAAGTCGTTGTATATCATCAACTTTCCACACAAATCCACCAGCTTTATTTTGCACTTGACTAACTTCCATTGGTTCACTCTGTGGAATATTTGTTTCATCCATACCCAGATCCATTTTGTGTTCTCTCGTATATAATATTGTATATTGATGGATCTAAAATGAGAAAAAACCTGTTATGCTTGTGATATGAATAAGCTAAAATATACTATGTTGCTGCTGACAAAGCAAGAAAATAAATCGATTTTTAGGCTTGAATTGTGCAACGTTGCGAAATCTGTAGACTGTAGATCTGTAGCCTAGAGAATCTACTCAAATTGAATTTCATCATTCACCTAACGACGAGACAATCTGTCTAACGGGTTATGTGAAATCAAGAGATATAACTATTTTTCAAAAAGATAATAATTTTTAACGAATCTAGAATGAAGAATATGAATGAAGCTAGTTCTGTTCAGTAAAATAAGAATACTCACTCAAAATTTCAATTTTGCAACCCGGAAGTAAACAAAAATGAGTCATGACACAAGTTAATCAATATCAAATTTTGTAAACTACTAAGAATTGAGCTATAAACATGAGGTTTTTTATCTAAAATAGAATGATTAGATTTTATTTTTGTATGATGGAATGCACAATACATTGTTCAAATCAATATATTTGAAAATAATTAGGTTTTCTGGCGTGCTGACGTTCGTCTTTCTTATCAGAAGAGTTTATTCAAAAGGGGTGTACGGTTATTACGTGACGTTAACCTGCATATTTATGCTATAATTACTCAAATGTTACTATTTTACTGGTCACTTAGCTATTTATTTATTATTTTGTTAACACTGAAATTACATTTAGTAAGTATTTCGTTGAACTCATTCAACACAACTGGGCTATTTGACCTATGGGTGAGTTCAAAAAACACGCGAAAATAATGGCGCTCTGATGAATGAATGAATGAATATCAAGTTGACGAAATAATAAAGGAATTACAGGTAATCTTCATTTACAATTCTATGTTTTTTTAAATATTTTATATATTTTTAATACATAGAGCGTTATTTCATGAATACAGATTCAAAAATATAAGCGTAATTAAACATCAAACTTTTATTTGGAAAAGCGCGTAAAATTTCGCGTAAAATTTTTCCCTCCATATTTTTCATCGTGAGAAACAAAGAAACGTACGATTTATTAAGATCAGATCTGTTACTCTCTATACTATATTACAAGTATATAGTTTATTTAATTCAAATCTGCTTTCTAAAGAGGAAAGATATCCCCAACTTCGACCAACCATTACATTTTCATTGATTCGTCGTCCCATCCTCCTAAGCAGGTGTCCAGAATCCGTACCTCCTTCTTCCCCCTGCTATAAGCAGTTAGCATTTCCCCGATTAAGAACTCGCAATTTGATTGGCTGTCGCAACACTGCGACAGAAATCATGTATACGTCATCGGCGCATAATAAGATCACGTGATTCAGTTTAATCGGGCGCGTCCAACTTGGTTATAGCAGGGGGTAAAAAGAAAGAAGATATTCTGGATTTTTGAAGCCCTGTGATCGGAGGATGTCGTCGTCCATGCTTGCTACAGTTGGGGACATAAATAAATGACAGGTGGATTTGCTGAAGTGAGGATTTCCCATGTTAAAAATAAGAGAATTTACAAGAGGCCATACATCAGTGGATGAGATTATACAAAATGTAAAATATACAAATTTTAAGGGATATGTATCTAGACAATATTGGAAATTATGGGCTTTCAGACCACCATAATTAGGAAATGGTGATCGAAAATCGACCTGTCATTTATTTTTGTCCCCAACTGTAATATAGTCTACTCGAGTTTATCGCATGCCAGGACTAAGGCCTCCTAGACTTCCAACAGCGCGAACAGCAGTTCTGACCTCTAGAACTAATGTACATTCTTTGCACTCGAACCACGATTAAGTCTTTTATGTCGCGCACCACCATTTCCTCGCTCCTGAACATATTTCTCCACTCGTGAACAGAGATCTGTGCTCGTAAACAATTTTTACATAGTGTACTCGGGTGTTTGGGATTCAAATTGCAAGCAACAACAAGAGTCAGTTTACATTGACCGGATTTGACCCGTATATTTGTACACATAATCTATTTCAACAGAGTCATAAACTCTCCGCAGCCACTGAAAAGCCATGTTTTTGTTTTTATTACCCATTCGTTTCACTGAAAATGCCAATGCCAAAGTAGTCTCAATGTTTTGTGTTTACTGTTATCTTCAATTAGTGGATATTCATTAACATGCATGAAAAACTGGGAAAGTATTTCTTCCGAAATCCATATAAAAACACTTCATTAGACTAACTTCATTAGTTATGGGCAATAATATAAATAAAATTACGGACTTTTTTCGACCAGGTGTGTGGTTCGCGAGCACGGACCTCTGTTCGTGAGTGGAGAAATATGTTCAGGAAAGAGTAAATGGTGGTGCGCGACGTAAGATTTCACATTTGCGATGTGAAAATTGTGGTTTGAGTGCAAGGAACGTAGTTTGCGAGGTCAGAACTGATGTTCGCATTGTTGGAACTTGGAAGTCTAGGCCTGAAAGTGACTATGTAGTCTATAGTCTTGAGAACGTCCGTATCTTTTGCCTGTATGATTAAAACATGGGAGAATAATCCTGGGACATTCTCAGGACTTATTGTGATAAAAGTGTAATCAAGTGAAGGACAAATCAACACTACTAAAGTTTTGTTACATGGGGGAGTCAAAGAAATCAACTTTGTTTTTGCAAAGCTGTTGATAATTGGACACCATTCCTAAATGATTGTACATTTGAGGTGAAAGAATGAATTTAAGATGCAACAAAGGCTATAGAAGATTTTAGAGTAACTTTCTTTTGGTATGAAAATATATACAGTATGCTCATTTGTGCTTCTAACATTGCATAAAATCTTCAGTTTCAGAGGATACATGCAGATTGATTTCTCCTTGTTATAATTTAGATCTATTGGGTGTGCTTTCTTTATTTCTTTGAGGTTACGATTGCTACAATAATATAATTCATCTAATCATATGGTAGAACTTCAAATTCACACCTTGGGAAATCAGCTTTTGGGTTCTTCAATGATTTATTTGTTACAATCGCCAATACATTGCAGTTGACCTTTGAAATAGAATGTGTCCATTTAATCATTGTCACTCTACTTCTTCATAGCTATTATTCTGGCTTAGACTCAAACGAGAGAGTCTAAAAGAGAATTAAACATGTGGAATGAAAAACAAAGATGAAAAGACATTTCAACTCTGGGTCATCTATATGTCAAATTCATAGAATCCCAAATGAAAGTACATGTACACCTGTATAAGAAATATACATGTTAGGCCGTTGGCTTAGCCTCTTACACAATATTTTTGTGCATTCAACAATGAGATTAAGATAATGGAAGGTCAAAGTGACCATATTATTTAATATGCTGGAATAGATAAGTCCAGATAGGGAAGATCTATATAGTACAGAAGTTAAAGATAAATGTGTTAAAATAGAGCAGTCATTTTGAGTAGGATTTCTTGGATTGGGTTGTCATTTTAGAGAAATGAGGTCTGCGCTCTGGACCTTCGAGATGATCTGTCAAGGCAATATTCTTTAGGACAATAGTCAACATAAAACAGTTGGACACTCAAATTCACAACTGTTCATATAACGTAGGAGAGGAGTATGAAATATTTAACATTACCTAGATTCTATAGTGTTTTTTTTCATAAAGGATAACTTGACATCTCTGATTCACTCAGGAATTAACTCAAGGCAGAACAAATGAGCAGATTCTTGTAAACATTCTCACCCTTAATCTCAAATGGATACTTGATCTATTTGATTTACATTTTTATTTTCAGATCTACGTGATTGCTGATTAAGAAATCCCGATTAGATCTTCATGAAACGTAATTGATCAGATCTTCGTGATTACTGATCTTTAATCCTGATCAGATCTCGTGATTGATCAGATCTTCGTGATTGCTGATCGTAAATCCTGAGTATCTCATTTAGATAACCGTCATCCATTAAAAAGGTAATTGGATATTTACTTAATAAGCTAGATTGTTTGATTTATTCTGCTATAACATCAAAGGTTACCCTAACATTTTGACACAAGTCATTTTCATAATATCAAACATGGTGACTGGATATTGCAAGCACTGTACATATATCATGCAAATAAGTGTCCTACTTCAACTTGTGTAATATAACGTGCAATGCTGTTACACATATTGATGGGGTCTATACTTCTGTAATATAATAGTGTAATATTTGTCAAGTGGGTGCAAGTGGATTGTAAAGTGGGTGCAAGTAGATTGGCAAATGGGTTCAAATGAATTTTAGAATATCATCATCTCAAACCATTGTTTTATTATCCCATCGAAAAAACCTCCGTCTGTTTTATGATACTGCTAGAAGGTGACCATTTTGAAAATGGCCACCATTTACATGTATGTCGGTGTGATTGTGTTGGAATTTTATAAAGTTTGTGCCAACTTTAAAGCATAATACACTTTCTCATGACAATTTGGCTATAGCGAGCGACCATTTTGATAATAGTGGCCATTTTTATATGTGTTATATAACTGAAAAAGTAGTAGAAGGATTTTGTAAAAGTGGCAGCCGTTGGTGTTCGATGGCATTTGCTAGGCTTTGGCGTTGCTGTTATATAGTTATTAGGACCATAATCAGGACTAATCTTAGTAAAATGGATAAGGAATATGATTATATGCTTTACTTCTTCATTTTTATTCACTGCAACATTGATCTGTTGATAACATTTATACCCTTATCCACATCTTAACATTATCCCTTTCCAATATTGCTTTCCCTTAATTTCCATTTCACACCTTTGTTACTATAAATATATTATAATCTGGGTAAATTTAATGAGTAAGATTTTGAAGTTGCAGACATGAGATTTATTACCTTTCATAATGGAAAGTTGTAGGGTTATTTCTTGTATATTGAAATAACCCTAATAGATTTCTTGAAAACTAGTTTAGGGGCATGCTCGGTATATTTTAATGTTCACTGTGTGCTTAGTAGTGACCGGTCTGTCATTTATATGACATGATTAATTGGGTCAAGATACCATATACAGCTGTATCAAAAATGAAGTAGATTAGAGCCAAGCAAGTAGGTCAAGAATGTTAGCCTTATAAGAAGCCTTTTTGATAAATATCTCTTCTCAAAATAAATGAAATTTTACATGTTTGAATGTAAAAAAACATGGGATGCGAAACCCAATATTGACCCTGCTAACAGACAGTGCATCTTAAAATAATACATTTTTTGAGTCTGCCCTTTACGCATTTATATAATGTAGGACGTAGGTAGGTAACCTTCATAGTAAGTGCACAAATAGCTAAAATGGCAATAATTTCCCAGGAGAAGATATTGTAAAATTTGCTACTAGTAAACAGAACTTAGAAATAATACTAGGAACTAGACATCGTTTTTGGGACCTTACCGCGGAATGCCACTTTTACTTACTAATTATTTTCAGTCACTATGTTATTACAATGCAATGTTTTTATCCAAAATTGATGAAAGTGTTCTGCTAAAGTTTAAATCTTAAAAACTAATTAAGTTGACTCCCCCTTAGCTTGAAAATCAGTATCATTTTCATAAGAATGATGGTTTACATTGAGACCAATATATATATTTGGCCCACACTGTAGAACTAAAGACAGGAACAATACTAAAGATAAAGTCTTAAATTATTAAGATGCATTAAGTTCAATATTTTCTTTTTTATATACAATTTGTTTATTTTAACATATGCTAGAGTCCATTTCACTGCTTCATTGCGTCAGTGGAACGGCAAAAATAAGAAATTGGGAGACCATTGTGCGATAATATATGGAAAAGTATATGCATAATGTACATGAATGACATTTGTATATTTCCGATTTTTTAGTTTTTTGTGCAATAAGCCTGTGCTGTCTTGTAATTTGAAGAATTTCAACCATGTTAATCTTATTGAAAATAGCATGGCAAAGAAGCATCCAAATATGAGATGCCACACACTTTATAAGCCAAACTAGAAGACATCCAAGATATATAAATGTCATTCATGTACATTAGGAATATATTTTTCCATATATTATTGCAAAATGATATTTTGATTTCTTATTTTTTTAGCTTTTACTGACGCAGTTAAACAGTGAAATGGACTCTAGGATAATACTAAATTGATAGGGTGTTGCAAAAACAATCTAGTTTGAAGTTCAAGTTGCAGTCTTGATAACTAAGTGTGGAGTCAATGATCTGATTTATTGTAAACGTAAAGTAGTTATAATAGGTCAAGTAAAATGTATTTCTGCCTTTAATAATCCCTTATCCATAGACATGAATGGCTATTTCTTTATCATGGAGCACATGGATCAGTGATCTACCCGGCAGTCAAGCTCTGTTTTAATTTTTTTTTGGTGTTTTTCACTTTGGCATTTGTGCTTATATATATATTAGCTGACCCTGGCAGTGGACCCTGGCAGTGGACCCTGGTAGCATTGCATTGAATTCTCGATTCTGATTGGTTCAGAGATGGTCAATAACAGTACATGCAATATTGGTTTACAATGTTTTAGATGATGATGATGTCATAGTAATGACTAAGAAGGAGGTTAACATATAAATATGCCTGGACCAAAATATTATCATTGTTGGTCTAGACCTCATAATAATCCTGTAATGAGTGCAAGTTTGTAAACAACTAGAACTAGTCCATAACAGGGAAAACACTCTATCAAGGTAACCTTGGATAGAAATCAGTAACTAGGCATTAAACCGGTATTATTCTCTATTTCGCAATTTCCCATCAGTAAAAATGATATGCTTTTCTTTTAATGAGCAGTAAAGCCAAAGTCTTTTGTTGAATTTATATGGCTGGAGGTTCATATATTATTATCGCACTTTGAAAAAGTGCTATATTGTCGTCGTCTTGTGCTGTTGGGCGGGCGTTTGGGCGTGCGGGCGGGACATAAACCAAATCTTGTCATCAAATTTCCAGGATAACTGCTTACCTGTTCAACTTGAAATTTTTACAGATGCAAGAGCAGACTAGTACCAAGATCTGATTAGGTTAAGGGCATGCTGGGTAAACTATGTGGCGGCCATTTTGAATTTTTCATCAAATCTTGTCATCAAAATTCCAGGAAAACCACTTATCCGTTCAACTTGAAATTTTTACAGATGCAAGAGCAGACTATTGCCAAGATCTGATTAGGTTTTGGGTATGCTGGCTGAATTACATGGTGGCCATTTTGAATTTTTGAATTTGGCGGCCATTTTGAATTTTTCAACTTGCTCCAAATTGACCAAATTTTTTTTTAAAAAACATCTACAAGTTCTCAGAAGTTCAAATCTGACCTTAGATTTCAGATTTGACCTTTCATTCACCTTCAGTGACCTTGAAAAGGTCAAAAAAGTTGATTTTCTAAATTGATATTTTGGATTTAAATTTAGGTCAGCTTAATTACAAAACACCTACTGAGGTCTGAAAAAGTGAAATTTTCAAGGTCGAAAGTCAAGGTCATTAAACTAGGTCACAAATGATGTTATCCAAGTTTCTCAAAGTTTGAGACTACAAATCAATTCTTGTCATCAAAATTCCAAGAAAATCGCTAACCTGTTCAACTTGAAATTTTTACACATGCAATAGCAGACTAGTGCCAAGATCTGATTAGGTTAAGGGCATGCTGGGTAAACTACATGGTGGCCATTTTGAATTTTTCAACAAATCTTGTCATCAAAATTCCAGGAAAACCACTTATCCGTTCAACTTGAAATTTTTACAGATGCAAGAACAGACTATTGCCAAGATCTGATTAGGTTTTGGGTATGCTGGCTGAATTACATGGTGGCCATTTTGAATTTTTCAATTTGGCGGCCATTTTGAATTTTTCAACTTGCTCCAAATTGACCAATTTTTTTTTTCAAAAACATCAACAAGTTCTCAAAAGTTCAAATCTGACCTTAGATTTCAGATTTGACCTTTCGTTGACCTTCAGTGGCCTTGAAAAGGTCAAAAATTTGATTTTCTAAATTGATATTTTGGATTTAAATTTAGGTCAGCTAATTACAAAAGACCTACTGAGGTCTGAAAAAGTGAAATTTTCAAGGTCGAAGGTCATCAAATTAGGTCACAAACAATGTTATCTAAATTTTCCCAAAGTTCAAGACTACAAATAAATTCTTGTCATCAAAATTGCAGGAAAACTGCTAACCTTGTCAACTTGAAATGTTTACAGATGCAAGAGCAGACTAGTGCCAAGGTCTGATTAGGTTTTGGACATGCTGGGTAAATTGCATGGTGGCCAGTTTGCTCTTCAAAGTGCGATATTTATCACTGTGTGTCTTGTTAAGCATTGTACAATCTATTTCAATCATTGTGAAATAAAGAAATGAAATTGTATCGAGTACTTTGAGTTCCTCGAGTACTGCTGCTTTTTATCACAAATATTTCTAGATTTACAGTAGCTGTGAACAGCTTGAATTATCTCCACATTGCAGATGTACACTTGATGTCATATTAAGAATAGTACATATTAGTTTATTGCTTTGAACTAAGCAGATATTTAAAAGTAATATGTGCATAGAACTTGTAATAAAGTAAAGAGGGTGTTCAATAAGTTTTGATAAAAGGGTTTGGATTTTTATATGTAATCGTCGATAACTCAAATTCCTGTTGTCTGATTTGGTTCAAATATTCAGAATATTTTACATGATGACATGTCATGCAGATTTTGCCAAAAAGAAAAGAAACCATTGCCTGGTTATTTTTGTCAAGAATGTTCAGTATTACAATATGTATGCTAAAGGACAAAACATTGTTACAGAACCTGGATGAATATAAAAACAACAGCAGTCAGAAGGAAAACAAACCCCAACTATCCCCATTGACAAAATGTATCGTTTGGTGGGATTAGCTACTTGAGGGAGTTGCTAATTTTTTTATTAGTTATAGTTATACTCATTGAATAGACTAGATGCGAGTAGAAATAATCTTGATTTACGTCATTAAATATT